TGCACCTGGAATCCAGAACTGTTCCACCTCCAAGCACAAGTCCCATGTGGCTGCCATAATCCATTGCCTTTGGCGTTGGCCTCTGCCCCACCTGCTGGTCTAGCGGTCCTGTTCCCAGGGAAGAAGGGGCAGGGCCATGCTCTGGAGTGAGGCATTTCTGTGGTGCAAGAATGGGAAGCCTCGCCCGGGAAGTGTCCTAGGGTGGCAGCACATGCGGTGGGGACCCACCGTGGCTGCTGACCCAGAGGGACTTCCCAGCATTCTCTGTTTGTTTCTTTTGATTTGGCACTTTGCTTAGTCTTGACAGCTGTTAAAAGGTTAGTTCAAAGCGAAGGTGCAAAAAGTGCGGGGGGGGAGGATCCCCCACCCGGAGTATTTTTTCTTCCCCTGATGGATCCCAGTGCCTCCCTCCTTGCCCCAGGGCTATGGATACTGGGAAAGGCAGAAAATGCAGCCCGTCCCTTTCGCTGGAGTATGGAGGCCTGACAGGTCACTGCCAAACTGCCAGTTCCGTTTAAAAGGGCTGTTTTCCAGGGCTCCCCACGGCTTCTTCACAGGGACATGTGCAGACCTGCTTTGGGAAGCTGAAGGAGATGAGTCTTGATCTGATTCTGCAAACTTCCTTTTTGTGAACCTAGCAATTTAAAATTGAACATGGGAGTCCACAAAGGAAAGCAAGTGCAGCTGAGGCCGGGTAGAAAGATGCCTGCGTTCCAGTTGTGCGTACAGAGTTGCGGGGAGGACCTTTCCCTTGGTGGGAGAGCCCCTGCTGTGTACGAGAAAGAATCCGGGTTTAGTCGCCCACATGTCCAGGCCCGACTAGGAAAAAAGCACACCTGAAACGCTAGAAAGACGCGACCAGTCGGTGTTCACAATGCCAGGCAGCAAAAAGGCCAGGCTCCCTCCCTGCAAAGCCCACCTCTGTGCTGACGGTGAAGGGCTGCTCTGGCTGCCGGGGGGGGGGGGGGGGGGGGGTCTAATCAAAAGCAAACTGGATTCCTCTCCAATTAAGCCTGTTTCACCCCACCCATACAACTGAGCAGGGCTTACATTAAACCTTCCTGTTGGAACAGGAAATATCAGCACTGTAAAGAGCGGTTTAAAAATACATGCCCAATGCAGCCCTGGTGATCTGGCAAAGAAAATAAAGGCACGAGGAAATGTCCCCCCACACGGCAGCCAGTGTGGGTCAAGCAACAGTCCTGGCCTGTGGGAACTGGTGGGGGGAAGAGGAGAAATGCAGGCCGCTGGTGGCCGGAAGGTCCGAGGAGATGGCTCCCCCTGCGCATGATGTTTCCCCACCCAGCGGTTCAGTCTGTCTCTTAGCTTTTCCTGCTTCCTAAACATTCTTTTGGAATGCTGGAGATGTGACAATGTCAGGCTTTCTTTTTTTAAGGGTGGGGGGTGCACAGAAGCTGGAAAATGGGCTTAGTGGAGACAGATGCGGCAGGCTCCCCAGAAAGTGCCCACAAGCCTCCCCGCTGGTTCTGTTGGGGACGGCACACCAAGAGCAAAGCAGCCTGGCTGGCCACCAGCGGAATGGGTCAGGGTGAGGCCTTTCGTGGGCCAGCCAGAAGGAGCGAACCGTGCAAGCCCCAAGCGGCGCAGGCATTGGCGGGGCTGCGGGGAGGCAGGTCGGGTCCAGGTCCCGGTGCTGCGTGACCCAGGGAAGCCCTCATGCGGGGAGGGCTCCAGAGTCACCTCCAGCGGCACCCCGGGGTGGCGTTGGCTAGCCCCCGCCCATCATGGCAATGCGGGCAAGGGGCAAGGGGCCGGGCCCCTGGCTTGCTTGTTAGGGGGAGAAGGGGGGCTGCAGCATCAGCAGCCTTGGGTCCCCCGTGGTGGGGTGGCAGCAGGGGCACCCCACACAACTCCGGCGGTGGGAGGGCGAGTGGCGGTGGGACGGGGGCGTCAGGAACATGGGGAAATCAGTGCCGCCCAGCCGGGGCCGGCATCCAGCCCCTCTCCCTGTCTCAGTTTAAGAGGGCAATGGAAACGCCCGGCGCTTCGCTGCCCGGGACTCTGGCAGGCGCGAGGTGGGGGGGGCCGCATGGCCAGGCTGCTCCCCCTTGGGCCACCCTGACGCGAGGGGCAGCGCTCCCTCCAGCATGGAGAGCTCCCTTGTGGCAGAGAGTTTAGCGCGCTGGGCCGAGGGCCTGGGAAGTCCAGGTTCTCGTCCCCACTCAGCCAGGAAGCTCGCTGGGTGATCTTGGCCCAGTCATGGTGCCTCAGCCTGACCTACCTCACAGGGCGGTTGTTGTGAGGTGGAGGTGCTTTTAAGCCACCTTGGGTTCTTTGCAAGAGGAAGAAAAGTGGGATGTCACTGTACCGTAACAAGACTAGTAACGAGGACGACATGGTGGGCGGGGGAGTTGTGTGCACCATCACGAGCTGGCCGGAGAACGGGCCAGCTGGCGACCACTGCGGCGACCCCCTGCTCGGACGGAGCCTCCGCGGCCGCCCATCGCCTCGCTCTGTCCTGGAGCGTTCGTGTTCTGGAAAGTGCCGCACTCGGGAGCCGCAGCATCTCCTCCCCACCCTCCTCCACAGACGCGTTCCTGCTTGAGAGGAAGCCTGGGGCGTGTGCCGAGGCCCAGCCATCCCCGGGGCGCCTCCATCCCCGTTCGCGGTGACGAGGGAGCAGCAGCGGCGCTGGGTGCATCTGTGCCGGCATTCTGCGCGTGCCGCTGGGCTTGCGTGAAAAACGGTGCAGCTGCTGCTGGAAGGGAGGGAGGCAGGCAGGCAGGCAGGCAGGCAGAGGATGGGAGCCTGTGCAGGGAAGTTGCCCCCCCCCCCCCGCCCCAAAAGTCCGCCTCATGCGAGCACTTCATGTCAGAGACCTGATCTGTGCAGGGAGGGGAATCACGGTTGCTCTTGCAGGGATTTCTCTGTGTGTTTATCATTCTCTGCTGGTAAGCCGGCAGCTGAGGGAGCAAGCCGCGCTCCGATGGCGGCCCCCACCGCGAGCCCTGACGACCCCTGCCCTGCGCTCTTTTGTCCCGCGCACCTGAGCAGCTGAACAGGGCAGCCGCGCGTCGCAGGACCGAACAGGCGGCTCGTGGCCGGCCGGCCGTGCGTGGAAGGGCCCTTCTCCGCAAAGGGGTCTCCCGGTGGGATGGATGAGGCAGAGGCGGAACGCCCTCCTTAGGTGTTCTGCTTTACCTATATTCTGGAGTCAAAGTCTGAGTGAACAAAAGCCCTGTGAGGAAGGCAAGATTAAGCCGCCCCCCACCGGCGCCTGGAGGAGCCTGCAGAGAGAAAATGGCTCCGAGGAGGGTCCCACCAGCAGCTCACCTGGCAGCACTTTCCCCGTCAAGGGATAGCCTCCCTTGCCATCAAAGGACCCTTCCTACAAGGAGATCTTGTTCTCAGCCTCTTGAATTCGTGGCAAGTGAAGAACGGCTCTGTGCTTTCCCCTGGCAGCCTTTTTGCCTGGCTCGTGCTTGATCTGAGAGAGTTCTCAGAAAGGTGGGAGGTTGCTCGGTACACGTACTATTTTTCTGGAAGGGTTTCTACCAACAGCAAATGGTCTCTGCCCTCCTCTCTCACAACACCAATCACACAGGTACACGCCTTACAGATTCTGAAACGATTCATCCTTCTGCCACTTTGCTACTGGCTCAGTCGCAGTGAACCGGCCTGACAGCTAAATGGACAGCACTGAAGAGCCTTTAAGGGCATCCTGGCATTTCTTTCAATGGCTGCAGTTGGAGCTGTTGCTTTACTGGCTAAAAGAATGCCAGTCCTGCTTAAGTCGATGCTTTTTGACACGCTAATGAGAGGCAGAGACTCCCATGGGTTGCATGTGCACATGCATGTTTGAAGGATCAGAATCACCTTGCACTTGGGGCATAGGAATGGGTGTCATAAGTACAGGTCAGGGGACAAGAGGCTGGAGAGCAGCACTTGTGAAAGGGACCTCGGGGTGCTGGTTGACTGCAGGCTGAACATGAGTCAGCCATGTGATGCGGTGGTCAAGAGGGCGAACGCCACCCTTGGTTGCAGAGCCAGAAGTGTGGCTTCTAGATCGAGAGAGCTATTACTACCACTCTACATGACTCTGGTGCGTCCGCAACTGGAGTATTGTGCTCAGTTTTGGGCCCCTCATACCAGAAAGGATATAGCCAGGTTGGAGTCAGTGCAGCGCAGGGCCACAAGGTTGGTGGCCGGTTTGCAGGGGATGCCGTATGAGGTGAGACCGAGGGAACTGGGTCTCTTCAGCCTGGAGAAGAGGAGACTCAGAGGGGATACGTTGGCGACATACAGGTATGTGAGGGGGTGTCACACGGAGGTAAGTAGAGACCTGTTCTCCCCTGCAGAGGAGGGCAGGACACGTTCCAATGGAGCAAAGATCAGGAAATCCAGGTTCAATTTGGGTACCAGGAAGTCCTTCCTGATTGTTAGGAACCTGAGGGTGTGGAATGGGCTTCCACGAGAGGTCGTTGAGGCCCCATCGGTGCGGGTGTTCAAAGATAGGCCGGACATTCACATGGTGGGCATGTCGTGAGTGGAGCTGGCTAGAGCCAGGGGTCAGACTAGATGGCCTGGGAGACCCCTTCTGACTTGCTCTGCTTCTGTGTTTCTATCTTGTAACATTAGTGATGCCACAGAACTTTTTTAACAGTATACTCATCTTGTGTTGATGCTTCTCTAAGTATCAACACACTGTCAGGACTGTCAATGTTCTGTGCAAGCAGCATGAATTCTGGCAGGCATGTAGATTCTGATTTCTCAGTAAACTGATCCTGTGCTTTTAAACAATGGGCGCACGCTGCAAGCCCTCTTGGCTGTGTACACAAGCCCATTCACCGGCTCGGGCTGCTGTGCCTTTTGCGGGGAAGTTGCAGCTACCTGCCCTGTCAAGAGCCTCGGTCAACAAGGGTCCTTGGAGCGAGCACACCTGCCCTGGTGGGCCGGCAGATGCCCGCTGGGTCCCCAGTGCGTGGGCCATGCCAAGCTCCTTCTTGCTTGCTGTTTCAGACTGAGGCCTGGGCCCAGCCATGGGGAAGCAGAACAGCAAGCTGCGTCCCGAGATGCTGCAGGACCTCCGTGAGAACACCGAGTTCTCGGACCTGGAACTCCAGGAGTGGTACAAAGGCTTCCTCAAGGATTGTCCCACCGGCATCCTCAATGTGGAAGAGTTTAAGAAGATCTATGCCAACTTCTTCCCCTACGGCGACGCCTCCAAGTTCGCAGAGCACGTCTTCCGCACTTTCGACACCAACGGCGATGGCACCATCGACTTCCGAGAATTCATCATTGCCCTGAGCGTCACTTCGCGGGGGAAACTGGAGCAGAAGCTGATGTGGGCGTTCAGCATGTACGACCTCGACGGGAATGGCTACATCAGCCGGGAGGAGATGCTGGAAATCGTGCAGGTAGCCCTGCCCTCCCCGCCTTGCCCTAGCGTCCCGTAGGGATCCCTTCCCAGAGGCTCCCCATGCTCCAGATGTACAGCCAGAGGCCCGCTTCCGTCTTAGTCAGGCGGTGCCCCTTCATGGCTTGCAGGAGCAGCAAAGGCCGTGTGCTGCAAGGCCGGGGAGCCTGGCCTCGACTCTGCGCACTCACGCGGGTTCCATGGGAGCACTGGTGCCGCGCGGCTGTTGTGAGGCTAAAACGGGGGCCGGGGCCGCGCACGCCGTCTCTGGTGAAGGTGGAGGCGGAGTTGCTCGGGGAGCCTGCCCGGCGCTTGTAGGCGTGTCACCCTTTGGGCCTGTCTCCTGGTTGCAGGGTCTTTGCAGAGGGAGCACAGCTCCTAAATGGAGCACAGCCCTCACATCAAGTTCAGCCTGTGCCCCACCCCCAAAAAAGCTGTTGTGAGTCAGCTGGCAATGCTGCGTTGGATGGACCATGCAGAGGTCCAGCTGGCCACCTCCCCGAAGGCAGGCAGCTCTGGTGCTTCTGCAGCAGGAAGGTGTGAGATGGGAGCAGAACCGCCCAACCTCGGCTCCAGCTGCTTTGGCGGAGGGTAGGCCAAAACTGCCAACCATGGCGAGGAGCCACAGGGTGCTTTCAGTTACATGATTTTCAAGGGTCAGAGGCCCAGCAGGAAGCTATGGGGGAGGGAGCGTGGAGGCCAGCCAGGCGTCCCAGTGGCAGGCCCAAAAGCAGCCTGTGCAGTGGCGCCCTCCCACCCGGCCACTGGTGTACATGAGGGGAGTGCCGCTGCTCCTGGAGTCATGAGGACTAGAAGCCATCGATCGGCTTTTGCTTGGTGAATTCCCTTCTCAAACCATCCAGACTGGTAGCTATCACTGTACCTTGTGGTGAATTCCACAGTTTAATTAAGTGCTGTGTGAACAAGTCCTTCTTTGATCTGTCCTGAATCTCCCACCATTCAGCTTCAGGGGATGACCCCACATTGCATTTTAATCTCTCCATATTATGCATTGCTTTATACACCTCTTTCCTTCCCCCCTCACTCACTCTTTCTGAGCTAACAGCTGTAAAGAGTGAGCTGTAGACATTCCCAGATCTCCAAAGCCACCTGTAGGACCAGGAATTTTCCAGGTTGGGCAAGCTCATTTCCCCTCCTTTCCTTTCCTTAAAGCCCCAGCAGAAGGAGCCCCTGGGGAGCGAAGGCTGTGGTGCGGCTGCTGCAGGCGTCTTCGGGCAGGCAGTGGGGCTGCGCAGACCAGCTGGCCTCGTGCGCGGGAGGGGTCTCTCCTCAGCCGAGGCGGATCCAGGCCCCCGGCTGGCAGCTCAAAGCTGTGCCTGGCCTTCCCTTAGGAAAGGAGGCTTCGCGCTTGGGCGCTTCCATGCCACGGGGCTTGAAGGGAAGCAGCCCAAAAACAGGGTTGCGGTTCTGCATACTTGGGGACACTGCAGGTATTTGTTTGAAAGTGAGAAGGAAAGGGAATTTTGGAAATCCCCCAAACAGGCTGACAAGGATCCGTGAGCTCCCAGAAACATCCATGGCAACGAAGCCTCGAGGTTTGGTTGACAGCCTTGCCCTCTTCTCCCCGGTGCCTCCCCTCAGAGCTGGCCGGAGTCCCCGGCTGGGAGGGCTCACGCGCCGTTCTCCCTACCATCCCACATCTGAAACTTTCTGGGTGGCTTGCGACTTTCTGTACAACAGATAATAAAATGCAATGATAGATAACATCAGAAAAACATTAAAATTTTAAAACAGCTAAGGCCAAACCATAGCAAAGAAAGACTGTAAGGCACCCGGAATGGGCAAGCCCCTCCTGTGTCCAGACAAGTCTTTTAAAGCCTCGGCACAGAGGACACTGAAAAGACGGAAATCTGGCCCAGTGGGGCCACAGCAGGGCCTCTGTTCCATAAGTGGGGCCATGCAGAGACCCCCCCACCATTGCCACCCTCTGTGCTGATAATGATCACGCCTTGCTCTCAAAATAAGCCCCGTGAGAGCTGAGTTTGCTCCTGGCAGGCTCGCTGTGGGTGGGCAGCCCCCTCCCTCCCCCGGGACTCCGCAGCAGGATTGCCCCACCCCACGGTGATGCTGAGCCCTTGCGCTTGCGGGGCTCTTTTCCCCAGGCGCTCTTCACAGTGCCCGGTTTGGCTCCCAGCGACACCCGCCCAAGTCAGGAGCGGCACATCGGAGGGACTGTGGCTGGTTCATCAGTCCTTAGAAAAAGTAGCGCAGGGCATTTGCGCCATGCTGGAGCATTCGGTGCCGCTGCCCGGGAAAGGCGAGTGGCCGCTGGAGCGGCGCCCTGGCCTGCCACTTGGGCCAAGAGGGAGATCGGCTGGGGGGGGGGGGGACAAGGCGCTTTGGCCGCTGCCTGGCCCCGGGGCAGGGAGTGGCTCGTGGGGGCCCTGGGGGCTCTCAGCCCCTTGCTGGCCCGTTCACATGCTGCAGCTCTTGCCCAGCATCTCCTTCTAAGCAATGTGGCCACTGGCCAGCATTTGTTCTGGGTGGCTAATTAAAAGTGGAACTGGCCATGCATGTGGCTTGTTCCTGGAGTTCCGCAGGTAGCCAACCCAGGAATTCCTGGGTTTATTGTTGTTTAGTTTTTTTGTTTTTATGAGTATTGTGGGTATGTTAATAGTTTGATGTGGTTTTGAATAATTGTTCACCGTTCAGAGAGAGACTACTGTGGGAAAACGTGAAATGTGCGATGCGACTCTGCATTCAGCTCTTTGAGAAGAAACACCACTTGCTCCTTAACTGCCAGAAGGCACGGCCAGTTTGAACATCTCCTGTTTCAGCAGTTGCCCCAGGAAGACTAAGATCAGCCCCAGAACGAGCAGCTGCAGCTTCCCGCGCTCCCTGTCCACCCAAAAAAAGTGCCCTCCCCTGCTCCATCAATGGAAGCCTTGCTGACTAAAGCGCTGATGGCACCGATTAGAGCCCGCAGGCCCAGTGTTGAGCGGGCACCTTTAAAGGGGCCTCCAATCTCATGTCCGTACCAACAATTTAATCTACTGATTAAATTGATTAAAGATGGCAGCGTATATATCTGCAGAGAGAGCAAGTCTCTTGCATGAACTATCATAAACCTCCTGGAGAGCGTTGGCTCTTGGGCAGAGTAGGAACGAGATTCAGGATGCTCTGAGCTGGGTTTCTGGTCAAGAGTGTGTGTTCGTGCTCAGGAGCGTGACTCCCTTGAGGAGGGCAGCCACGATGGCTCAGGGGAAGCTGGAGCCTCGGTGGTTTGCGGGCCGCCATGGCTTTTGTCTCTGAGTGTTTCGAGGCAGCTGGGGCCGCAGGCGCTCCTGGCGCTGCTAAGCAAAAGGGCCCGTGCGTTCCCTCCGTATTGGATCTTTGGTGGCAAGAAAAGGGATGGGGGACGCCGTGGGAGAAGAGCGGACTGCCCTTGTCTGAGCCTTCTTTGCCATCTCTTAACGCCCAGTCTTTCTCACTTTCTAAGCAGCAGCGCTACAAATTTAAGGGAGGGGACACTCAGAGGAACAGATTGGGCAGAAGTTTTTAAAGGGGATTTTTATCAGCCAATGGAGCAGCTGAGCAGAGGTATAGGGTGTGGGGTGACGGTCCCTCTGGGAATCTTCCATGACACGGGATTCAGACGCCCACCTAGCACCACTGCCCAAGGTTGCCTTGACTCCCTAGAGAGGGGCTGAGACAGCTGCTGAGCAGCTGTTCCCTTTCTTTGCCACGGGGGGGGGGGGGGGATGAGACGCGACCCCTAATCCTAGCCGAGGTCTGCAGGGCAAATGAAGCCTGGATAAATCGCTTGCTCAGGCAGTTGGACCCATCAAGCATAACGAGCAAAATGAAAATGAATTTGTCTTTGAGGAATTTCTTCTTTTCCACACTGAGAAAAACATGGTGTTTAGCTCAGTTTTGAAGCACCTGCTTTTCGTGTTCCCCACGGAACCCAAAAACTAGTCCAGATTGTCAAGAGGTAGCTGTGGATCACAGGTGCGGCGGGCAAAGACGTCCTGGGTCCTGGATAGCTATAAGTTGAAGCTGCAAAGTGCCCTTGGCAGGGAGAAATGGGAACACCTGAGAAGGTGGAGTTTGAGCCAGGTGGATCTTTGCTGAGGCCGTCAGCTGGGAGCTCGTCCTCTGCGAAGGCTCACTCAAGTGGGAGCAACCACAGCACCCTTTTCAGGCCGAGTGGTCAGACCTGTGTGGAAACACGGCAGCTCAAGCCATGGAGAAATTTGCCACTGCAGATTCCCTGACAGTCCTTGGGCAAGCCTTTCCAGAAAGTGGAATCAGCGTGCCTGAACCCCAAAATACCACAAAGCAAATGAATCATCAACTATTAATTTCAATTTAGGAGGGTGGCAGGAAGGAACTTCCAGGAAGCCTGCTGTGGGAGAAGGCAGGTTGCCGATTGGTGATGATGTGCCCCGGACAAGCTGGTTTTCTGCCTTTGGGTACTGGTGATTTCTGAGGGCAAATGCTTTCATTTGCAGAGAAGCAGATTTGGTGGGAATGTGATGAAGGTGTAGTAAAAGGATGAACCATGCGGAGATCTGGCAGCGAGACACAAGCCCTTCCTGCCTCATCATACTAGAATTCCTGGTCACTTGGAAACCTTAAATGACAAAAAAGAAAGCCCGCAAATGCACTGTTGTAATTTGCACCTGGCAGAATCAGCTGATGGGTTTTGTTGCCATGACTAGGTGGCAGGAGCTGACTTAGATGGCCTTTGGAAGGAGTTCTGTTGGCAGCCAAGGGCCAGAATCAATCAATGGCTCCTCTCTGTCCGGATGCAGCCCACTCGGAACCGTGATTGGTAAAGAGCTCTGTGGTGCCCTCTGCTGGAGGCAGGACAGAACAGCATGTCTGCAGAATGCCCCTTTTCGCTTTTACCTGCATCTTACTCCTGAAAGGTCCTTTGCGTGGGGGGGGGGGGGCATTTGTTGCTGTTCTTGTTGCTGGACTGAATCTCCCTAGAGCAGGAGCGGTGTTTTCTGAGCTGCCCCATGCTGAGCTTGGGGTTGGAAGGGGAGCAGGCCTTGCTGAGAAGGGTCTGGGGCGATCTCTCCATGGCCGCTTCAGCAAGTGTTTCCCCCAGAGAAACCCGCCCCAGCATTTTCAGTGCTAATCACCAGGTCTTCAGCCAGGCGAAGCATGTGGCCTCCTGGGACGTGGCTGGCTGGCTTTGAAACGCCGCCTTGGATTCGCCAAGGCTGTTTGCCTGCTTTTGCTTTCTGGGTACTCGGCGATGTGGGCGAAGGTGGGTTCGCCCCTGCAGACCCTGGGCCTTCAAGGCCATCTGTCTGGGGCTGGCTGCGAAGGGGGCAGAGATGCAGGCTGGGGCTGCACATTCAGTGGCCATGAAGCCCCTGGGGCAACACTGGAGGGCAGCCTGGAATGGCTCTGAGGTTGCCAGCAGCGAGCCAGCCCAGACTCTCCTGGGGCTGGGGGGCTGTTACGGACCCCCCCCACACCAGCCCAGGTCTCCCTTCCTGCAAGCCATACAAGGACTCGGGGAGCCCCCTGCATTGCCTTCCCGCTTCGCTAGTTAAGGGATTTTGCTACGATCGGATGCCAGAGAATGACAGCTGGCACTGTGCAGTGCTGCACAGGCCGGCTTCGGAGTGCCAGGAACAGGATCTGCTGCCCCCTAGATCAGGTGCTGGGGGGCTGGCTGGGTTTGTGCACTTGCAGGAGAAGCCGGTTCCTCCCATTCGATGGCCCCCTGTGCCGCTGTGTGTCCATTCCAGAGCTGGAGAGGTCCGGGGGCTCCCAAGGGCTTGTGGCCCAAAAGCCCCGAGCAAGGCAGCTGTCTCCACAGGGCTGCCGCTGGGGACCCTTCTCTCACTGAGCTCACCGTTCCTTCCCTGCAGGCCATCTACAAAATGGTCTCGTCAGTGATGAAGATGCCAGAGGATGAGTCGACTCCTGAGAAACGGACGGAAAAAATCTTCCGACAGATGGATACCAATAACGATGGTAAAGGAGGAGATAGAAAAGATTAAGGCACACGCTCGTCACTAAATCCGGAGTGCTTCGGCAGAAAGGCGGGCGTCCTGACTGCATGTCCCGGTGGGGGAGGGACAAGAGGGCCGGGGGCTGGCTGGCAGAGGGATGCCACGGGGGGCCCTGGCGAGGGGCAGCTTCCTCCTGTCGGGGAACGACGCCGATTGATCGTGCGGGGGGCCGGCCAGGGCGTCCCCGCTCGTCTGTGGCCGCACAGGAGGCCTGTGGGCCGCGGCGGGGGCCGAGCAGGCTGCCATGCTCAGCGATGCCCTCGGGGGTCATTCTCAAGGGCATGTACAGCCATGTGGGGCTGCTTCGGGGAGGAGGGTCGGAATGGTGCACCGCTCCGAACGGATGAGACACCAGAGCAGGGTAAGGAGCCGTGCTGGCCAGCACGACAGGGTGGGGGGGCTCCGATCTTTGCAGGGGGCCAGGCTGGGTGGGCTCGCGGGGCTGGACCTGACGGCCTTCTGGCCACTTCCGGCTCCACTGTGCTGTGAGTCCGTGAAAACCCCCGAGCATGAATGGCCAAAGCATAGCTCTGGACTGCTGCTTTAACAACAACAACTACTACTACTACATCATCATCATCCTCACCATCATTATTATTTTCTCCACCATCCATAGCTGAAGCTTTCTGGGTGGTTTACAGCAAAGTATAAAAACAATAAAATACAATAGATAAAACATTAAGAATTAAAAATCAATTTAAAAGAACATTAAAAGACAATAAGAGGCAATTTAAAAGATTCAGCCAAGAGTAAAAGAAAGGCACCTGGCTAAAGGCCCCTGAAGATCAAGAAGGTCTTTAAAGGCCTCTGCAAAGAGGGCTGTTTTAGCTTGGTGACAAAATATGGCAAATTTGGTGCTATTCTTCCAAAGATGGGAGGCCATCCCAAGAAGGCCCTCCCGCTAGTTACTCCCTTCCAAGCCCCTCGAGGGGTCGACACCTGGAGGAAGGCCCAGAGGCCGAATGTGGTGTCCAGGCAGACTGGTGCTAGGAGAAGCACTCCAGTAGGTGTTGCCGTCCCAAACCACATCATGCCCCCCGGCACATGGAAAAGACCAGCCTGGGTGGGCTGCGGGGGGTTGAAAGCCCCTTTCCGTGCCTCGCGTGGATTGTTCTGTGCAACGCTGTGCGACTCATAGCGGCTGTTTCCCGTCTTGGGCGGCACACCCTCATCGGGAGCTCTGCACTGCAGGGGAGCGCCCCCTCGCCGGCAGCAGTGGCCCTTTCCCGGGCAGCCCAGCCAAGGACGGCTTTGCAGTGTGGTGGGAATGCCGGCCGAGGTTTTCGCTGAAAGGGTTTCCAGTGCTCCCACAGACCATTTGGACGTGGCAAGCTCCGCTCGGCCGTGTGGACAGCCTCCCTGGGAACAGGGCAGTTCTTGATGGATTTCACTCGGCCTCGCTCTTGACAGCTGTCGCTGCTCTGCTGCCACAGCTTCTAACCTTCCGTCATGCCGATGGCTGTGGTCTTGGCTTCCCAGCGGAAATGAGAGGACTTGAGAGGACACAGACAGGGCCCACACTTGGAAATGTGGCAAAACCATGTTTTTAAACATTCAAATTGTTTTGTGCAGATAACGCAACAGCGTGGATAAGCAAATCCTGCAAGATTCTCATGGAGTCTTGGACATCACAAGGCATGACCAAGTGGGGAATCATTCCCGTCCGGCGCAGACTGAGTGTTCATGCAGCCTAGAAGCTGATGGTGGTGACACTGCACATAATGTTCTAAAACTCTCCCTGCAGTGCGGACAAGATGCAGTAGATGTTTAAAAATGCAAAAAGTAATCCCGGTGCAACTGAGGAGACTTGATGGCTTCAGAATAGTACCTGCAGACTTTGCAGAATCCATGAATGGCCACATTCTTCCAGCTTCCTTGAAAACAAACATTAAGGCAGCAGGTGATGTAACCAATGATTTGCTTAAAGGTTAATGAGCAGGGAATGCCAATTACCGTCAGTAATAGGTTAATCAGAGCAACCTTCCCACCTCATAATCCAAGGAGGAAAACAGAATTCGAGCTCTTGCCCCTTTGGGCAAATCAAATAGTATTGCACAGCTGTGTGGAAAGAGAACGAAGAAGACAGACAACAAGGCTGCATGCAGAGGACCAGACGGAGCTGCCCAAGGTGAGCTCTGCGGCTCTGCCGCTTGCAAAGGCTGCTGGACAGACACACCGCGTGCCAGAGGCAGGCTCAGTCGGTCCGCCCTGGGGACTGCGGGGGCTACCACGCATGATGTTCCCTACACGGATCTGGAAACATGCATAGGCCAGGAGTGTAGCGTGCAAATGTGTCCTTCTGCTCTCTGGTGTGACATGCTGGTGTCGTGGCAGCCAGACTGGACGGCACTCCATGCTGGAGTCTCTTCCCCAAGAGCAGCCACGTGAACCGAGCAAGTGGATCTGGAGAGAAGCAAGCGCTTGTTGGCATTCAGCCGCGGGAGCAGGAGAGACTCGTCGCACGCGTGAAGACACCGCCGGCCCGGGCAGCTTCCCGCGGAGACGGCGGTGCCGGCAGCACCTCCACACATCTCCATGGAGGGGGCTGAGCGGGAGGGGCTTTTCCAATCTTCAGGGAGCCATGAGGACACTGACCCAGGTCACAGGTGCCCTGGTGCATGGCCACCACCCCGCCGGCCTGCAGGCCCATGCGTGTGTCTGCGTACAGAGGCAGAGTCCTGCACCCGCCTCCCAGATGGCCCCCCATATCGCTTCCCAATGGCACTTGCACACGTGCTTGCCCAGGCGCAAGGCAGACACGGGGCCGGCACAGCTGTGCTAGGAGCAGCAGCAGCTGAGGAGACTTCTTACCAAGTGCTCAATGAGGAAAGCAAATAAAGCGCTCAGCCCACCCGCCTCCGGAAGTGCCAAGGAAGCTCCCCCTCCTCTGAAGAGATGCAGGAGAAGTGGGAGCCAAGGCTGGTGGTGCTCTGCCGTGATGGCCCCGGGGACACGTGCAGGGGCAGCGGAGGGGGGGGGCAACTGTCAGCCACAGCGCGGCTTTGATGGCTGTTCACCTGCCCGTCAAAGCTTCGTTTCAGTCCGAGGTCATGCTTCTCTTGACGCCCTTGCAGCCTGAAAGCGTCAGAGGCAGGGCCCTACTGGGGCCCACTGGAAAACAGCCGGTCCTGGGCATGAGGCTTTTGCAACCTGTCTGATGATGGAATCACAGAACAGTAGAGTCGGACGGGGCCAGAGGGCCATCGGGTCCAACCCCTGCTCGGTGCAGGACTCCCAGTCAAACCGTCCCTCTCAGAGGGCTGTCCAGCGGCAAATGCCCGCGTGTTGACTGGCTATGGCTCAGGATGATCCTTCCAAGGCTATGGGAAAACCCTGCTGGAAAGTGCTTCTCTTTTGAAACAAGCTCACCTTCCCTGGTTTGGGAAGGTGTTGGTGTTACTTGGATGCCACGTGATTTCTGTGCGGCAGGTGCAGGGCTCCAGCTGCCTAAACGCCCAACCCCAGTGCTTGTGGGGTGATGTGTCCATTCCAGGGTCTTTTCTGTCCTGAACCCTGTCCCTGAAACAGGCCGAGCACCTTCCATAGCTCCCTTGACCATTCAGGCTGAAACCTGGAATGGATTAACCGTCCCACTGGCTTCAAAGGGCACATCCTTCCTCCAACCAAGGATGCAGGTGCCAATCAGCAGGCAATCGCCTGACTGAAGGGACTGTGTGAATATGGTCACTGCCAGACCTTTCTCTGGGAGAGGAGGAGCCCAGCGGTTCACCTTCTTTGTCCTCGGCTTGCCTGGAATGAGTGAAAACCTGACCTGCCACACGATGCCCCTGCCTCAAAGGGGGCTTGAAATCTACCACTGTGCAAGGATGCTCTGCATGCCTGTGGGACATGGGCGTCCGAGTCGTGAAAAGCTTTGATCGCACTCAGCCTCATGGGGGGGGGGGGGCTCGAGGGGCCCTTTTACTCTTCCCCTTTAATCACTCGGTGACAAAGGGAGAGACTAACATGGCTAAGTCCTCAGAAGGGCAGACGTAAGGATATCATTTGGAAAGGCCATTGCAAATCTGTTTCCCTATTAAAAAAAAAAAAATCCAACGCAGAAAAAATAAAAAAAAAACCCGACAACAACAACCCCACATTTTGGGTCCTAGGTCTGGGAATCTGAAAATACTCATTGCTGCAACCTAGCAAAAGCCAAATAGGTCTGGGGATGCTCAGCAGCCAGATGCCACCCTGAGCTCCCTTTTTGGAATAAAGTGGGAAACAGACCATTGTATTTCAGCTGAAGAGATTTTATTATGCGGCTGTGGCTGAAAGAGTAAAAACCTGCGTAAACATTTTAACTGCATGCAGAATAGGCAGCGTGGAGACCACCAGTATTCCGTGCCAAGGAATTCCACCATGGCCCTGCTGCGAAAATGAGGGCCCGCGGAGTCCTCACCAGCCCCGTGCAGCTGCCCCACAATGGCGTGGGCCCCAACCCCCGTTCTCCCAGTCCCGGGTGCGAATCCTTCACCACACGCTTGCTGCTGAACGGCGGGCTCATGTTGGGTCCTGCTCTCTTTTCCAGGCAAACTGTCCTTGGAGGAGTTCATCCGAGGAGCCAAGAGCGACCCCTCCATCGTGCGGCTGCTGCAGTGCGACCCCAGCAGTGCCTCGCAGTTCTGAGCACCCGTACGCAGCAGGCGGCGAGACGCGGCGGCCGCCCGAACCGGCTCCACCGCCCTCGCGGGGCTCGCGCCGCCCCCACCCCAGGGAGGCAGCCGGAGCCCCTTCTTCCGCTGTGGGAAAGCAGACCGATCCCAGCATAGCCCCGAGCACTGCCAGCCTGTTTCTTCCTTCCGACTCACAGGTCTCTCGACTCCCTTCCCAACACTCGTTTTGTGTGAATGTTAACAGAATTTGCGGGTGGTGTGAGAGCAACAAGGGGAACCCAGTGGGCTGGCGCACTCCTGCGAGCCCCCGGCACTTGGTTTGGCAAAATGCCTCCCACCTCCAGCAGCCTCTTCCCTGCGCTGCACGTCCATTTCGCCGGTTTGTGGCACACGCTCCTTGTGGCGGCGTGCCTTCCGTGTGCACAGAGCGTGATCGTGATCGCACCAGAGGCCCCGGCCCTGTCCAAGCCTTCGGGGCCCTGAAGGCAGCACCCAAAGGTGTGTGGATGAAACTGCAGCCGCCGAGGGCGGGGGCGGGCCACAGGGGAGAACATCGCAGCCGCCCGCTCAGCCTGCAGTGCGGCTGCTGGTCCCAATCCGTCGCTGAGCGGAAGGCACGGTGCCAAGGAAGCCCAGGCATGCCCAAGAATGGTGTCCTGTGGCAGCAGTGGGGTTCTGGCAGGGTGTGGGCTATCCGGGCGGCTGGTAAGGGCAGGGGGTGACCTGCTTGCCGGGAACGTGCATGCAGATCGTCCTCCCTCTTTGAAATGGGCCTGCGGGCGCCCAGAGACCTCACCCCGTCCCAGGACAGGAACCGCAACCGCATCCGCAGGCCTCGTGTAGGGTCAGCCAGCCTGGACTAGATGCCTCTTTCTTCGGCCTTTTGCTTCTGAGGCGGAGCACAATCCGGGGGTGGGGGGAGCCCAAGCACCTCCCAGATGAGGAGCCTGGCGACCACCACCCCTCTGTACACAGCCCAGACTACCCAGCCCTGGCACGTGCGCGAGGCAGGTCCCCAGGGAGGGCAGAGCCTGGCGTGGAGGGACTCCTCTGTGACCGCGACGCGCCGAGCAGAGTTTGCGAGAAGGGCCTCCCTAGGATCGGAGTGCTCCGAGCCCGGAATTTGCGTCCTGACCCTCGGAGCCGCTCGGCGTTCCTCCCACGTGCCCCGGGCCCGCTCCGTCTCAGCCATGCGTGCTGCAGCAGGAGGGAGAGGGGTGCTGCTTGCTGCAGCAGCCGTTGCGCGACGCAGCGGGGAAGCCTGGCGGGCGCACTGCAGGTCGCGCAGGACCGACGGGTGGATCCTGGTGCCCCTTCTCCCCCACCTGTGCGCACGATGACACAGTCAAGGCTCCACTCCCTGGCCAATTACCTGAGGCGAAGCACAATCGGGGGGGGGGGCAGCTCCACCACCTCACCCACGTACCGCTCCTGGTTCTTTGCACTGCCAAAGGGGAGGACTGCAGAAAGACGCCCCGCCGGCCTGCCCTCGCTGCACGCAGCTGCCGCCGTTCACCTCCGCCCCGAAAGGAAGGCAGCCACCCAGGCTACAGAGCACAGGGATGAGACGGGGCGGGGGGGGGAGGGCTTGGTCCAGGCCTTGGGGGTCGCCCGGCCGGGGGGCTGCTCACACCAGCGTGGCGGGGCCCGTGTGGAAGGTGCCTGCGCCCCCTGCTCCAGGAGCTGAGTGGGCCCAGCGCTGGCCGTGGCCGCTCGTGGGCCAGGCAGGGCAGGGCAGGGCAGGGCAGGCCGGGGGATGGGGGGCAGGACTGCTCCTGCTGCTGCACTGAAGGCCACGCAGGGGGCCCGCTGCTGCTGCACGTGGCTCCTCGCGCAGGCCTGCCTGGCCTTGCCACCTCCCTGCCCGCCGTGCCGAGGAGGGCTGCCAAAGCCACGGAGGGCCGTGCGGGCCCGGAATGCGGCGTGTGAGTGATGCACATAAATAAATGCGACATTTGGAACCAGGCGATTGCCACGTGGTCATCTTCAGTTCACACGCGCGTGCTCACTTGTACAGCACAGGAACAGAGCGAGTCAGAAGGGGCCTCCTGGGCCATCTAGTCTGACCCCCGGCTCCAGCCGGCTCCGCTCATGCAACCCCCAGCATGTGGTGGGCCAATCTCTCCTCGAACACTCTCACTGATGGGCCCTCCACCCCTCCCATGAAAGCCCATTCCATACCACAGCTCTGCTGTTACGGACTGGGGCCTGGGACAGGTGCCGGCTCCTGACAGGCGTGCCCGCCATGCCACAGCTCCGGCCCCACGAAGGAAAGGCACCCGAGGGTTCCTGGACTGTGGGGGCCATGGGTGGGCAAGCAGGAAGCACAGCCCTCCTGCACCTCCCGCCCCTGCTCCCCCCGCTAGTTGTTGCAGAGGTGAGATCCAAAGGGGTAACCGTCTCCCACGGGGGGGGGGGGGGGCCCCACCCCCCCCCCCTCCGGGGGTGGAAAACCCCCCCCCGGGCGCCCCCCCCCCCCCCCCCCCCGTCAGGTCTTGGTGCCGAGTCCACCCAAAGGACCCCTTTAGACTCATCCTGCCCAAAAGAGCGAGCCCACCCTGAGGTGCCCGCAGGTGCTTCTGCGGCTGGGGGGGCATGCTGCTTTGGGCCACAGTTCGGGGCAGAGCGCCCACAGTGCCAGTGTGTGGGGGAGGGGAGGGGCTTGCCTGACACTCGGCGGGGAGGGTGCACAGGCAGGGCCCCGCTGGGGCTCCCTGGGGCTGGCTGCCGAGATTGGGGGGGGGGGGGCAGAAGGGCCTGCCAGCACCATGCTGGGTGGGGCGATGCGCAGCTCCTCTTCCCTCCAAACGGGCCTTGGAGGCCGACGCAGGAGCAGCCCGCAGAGAACGCCAACCTCGCCTGGCGCTGCGCAGAGAACGCTGCAAATTAGGAAGCTGGGAGGGGTGCCCTGGGACTAGTGGTCTCAGCCTCAGACCACCTTTCAGCTTATTGAGCAGTTCTCTTTTTAACGATTGATTGTTTAATGTAATAGATTTGCATAGTTACAAAACATCGGTTCAAACTCTCTTTGGCCAGACTGAAGACTCCAGGCTCAATTCCATTCCACAAACAGGCTCCCTGCTCTTCCGACCCCCTTTCCATTGCCTGTTAAAGTTACGATAGCCAAAGCCCGTGTCCTCCAGGATGGCGGCGCTTCCCGTCGAGACACTCCCTGCTTCCCATTGCAGAGTGCCCACCGCTTCGCCTGGGGGGCTGCAGTCACTGCCTCCCCCTGCCCCAGCGTCTCCGTCCTTGGGGTAGCCCTGCAGAGGCTGGCTGGCTGGCTGGCTGGGGAGCCTGAGGCAGCCTCGGCTGCTCGTGGCCAAGGGGATCGTTGCCCTTGTGCTCCGCAGACCCGCGCAGCCCCCAGTGGTGCAGCTCGCCCTCCTCCGGCCCTTCAGCCATCATCGCGGAGTGCGCCAGTGTGGGGAGGGCAGGGAATTGCCCTGCAGGGCCAGCCTCTTAAAACGTCAACGGGAAACGGTTTCCTGGAGTCCAAGAGCCACTGTAGACCTCGCAGGCGCCGGAGCCTCGGCTCTTCCCTTTGTTCGGAAGACTCGGAGAGGCCGGGGAAGATCTTCCGGACCGAAGCACTGGGGCACCAGTGGCGGAGCGCCTCTGGCGAGGAGAGGAAGCGGGGCCCTTCCTTGTGCGGCAGCCCACGGGCCAAGGGCCAGCTGCCCTGTCCCAGCCACAGCGAGGCTCCAGGGCGAAGCTGCCGCCAGGCGCTGGAGGAGGCGCTGCCGCGGGCGGTCGTGCAGGTGCAGCCAGGCGGTCCCTAGAGCCACACGGCCTCTGTGCGGTTCCCCCTCAGGAGGTCGCGGCTCTCGCAGGCGTCTCTCCTCTCGGCTGCGTACAGCTGCAGCGAGACCTTGAAAGCAAGCGGGTGCCCTCAAGCCCTGGCAGGAGAGGCGGCTTCTGCGTGTGCCCGAGGGCCCCGGGCACGTTCAGGGCGGCCCTGTTCTCAGGGTGATCACTGCGCCCAGCAAGGGAGCCTCTCGGGAACCACGGAGCTCCCCGTGACGGGGCACGGGCACGGGCCAGTGCCCATCTCCCCTCCCTGTGACGAGAGCGCAGGAGCGCAGGGCTCGGCAGCTGGCCGGCAGGAGGCGGGTGGGCCCGTCACGCCTTGCTCAACTGACTGCAGCTGGCAAAAACCCTGGCAGGCGGGCGGGCGGGCAGCGCCTCTCGTCTGAGCCTCCCGGACACAGCCTGAGCCAGGAGCACCGCCAGGCTCCTTCCCAGGGGTCCATTCGAGGGCCTTCCACCTTCGCCCCTCCTGAGATTGGAGCATACGGCCGGACGATGGAAGCCGCAGGTCCGGAAGAAGGCAAGGCGTGGCGGGGTGGCGACACTGGCCTGCCCGGCCTGCTGGGCCAGTGCTGCCCGCAGCGAGGGGCCGTGGGAGCTGCAGCCTGAGAACGCACCTGCACTGTATGGGGACGTACTGGGGGCAGAGGGGGCCCATCCAGTCCTCCTCCAAAGCGCAGGCGGAACGAAGTCCGGATCACAAGGACGGGGATCTCGACCACAAGCGGGGGGGGGGGGGCTCACCTTTTTCTTCCGGGTCGTCCTGCAGCAGAACCTCGGGTTCAGGAGCACGAGGGTGACCAGGAAGCACCGGATGCTGAAGATGATCTCCAGCACGTCCAGGAGCAGGGAGAGGCCCCAGAGGGCCAGCGCAGAACTCTGGCGGGTGGGCAGGAGGGGGAGGGCCACGTGAGACCTCCCGAGAGTGCCCCAGCGTTCTCAGACGGGCAGGGGCAGGAAGGGGCAGGGCCGCCAGTCCATTCCAGCCCCCGCCCCCGGCCAAGAGCAGCCTGCCCCACTCAGGCTGAGGCTCACGGCAGTCCCATCTGAGGGGCGGGGGAGCATCCCCCAAACAGGCCCGCGCAACCTCGGCTTCCACGGGCGGACAAGCTGATGCTGGAAGGGTCCCCGGTGGTGGGAAGCGTGGAGACAACCCCCAGGAGCGCAACCTCCCTGGGAGAGGACTGCTCACGTCCCGCTCGGCTCCCTGCCCCGCACCCCACGGCACGCATGCCATGTGCCTGTGGCAGACTTACATAAACCCGGGTGGGGTCGAAGGGGCACTCGTGGGCGATCTGGATGAAGTCCATGTCCGCAAAGGTGCACACGGCCAGGAGGGCGCGCCCCTTGTTGGCGAACGTGGCGGCGATGGCGACCACCAGCCCCACAGCGCAGAACAGCGAGAGGAGGGCACTGGTTGTGCTGAAGGAGAGCACCGCCCATCGCTGCAACGGAGAGGACAGGCCTGCGCGTGCGTCCCTTCGTCAGGGCGAGGCGCCCCTCCCTGCCCCACAGGACGCCCCAGGGGACCGGGCGCCACTGGGCCCCAAGCCCCCGGTGAGCTGCGTGGCCAAGAGGTGGCCAGAGCCCTTTCCTAGCCCCAGTCCAGCCCTCTAATGCCCTCTCCAAACTCGCTTCCCACGCTGGCGGCTTGGCTATTCGAGGAGGTGCTGAGAGCGGCTTTCCAGAGGCAGGAAGGAAAACGTGTCCACTCCCTCCCTTCCTGACCCCAGGCCTGGCAGGCAGGTGATGCCCGTCAGGCGCAAGGCGCTGCCTCGCCCTGAGGGCCCCTGATCTCCCGTCCACTGGGCCGCTCCAGCCTGGCCGCCCGCGATCTGGAAATGCCGGGTGCAAGATGGGCTGTGCCAGACCCTACGGCCCGGCTTCGCCCTTCAGCCCTCACTTCCCTTGAGGAAACCAAGCAGCCCGTGCAAAGCTTCCCCCCGGGAAGCGGCTCCCAGAGGAGGGCTTGTCACGGGGGCAGCACCACCACCACCTCCTGTCCCAGGTGGGGCACACAGGCAGGGCGCCTGCACCCTAAGACGGTGAGCTCAGGGCAGGGTGGGGGCTGAAGGAAGGAAAGGCGGCGTTTTCGGCCAGCCTCAAGGCCAGAGCCTATGTCCTCAACAAAGAGTGCAGGTAGGCCTTCTGCAGAAAGCTGGGTGTAACGGGGAGCTTGGAGGGGTTCCTCGGCTCAGAAACATCACCACACCCCAAGATACCGCAGGAGACAGACGTCCTACCAGCAATTTCTGGGACGCGTATCTGGAGAGAGCGATTGCTGCTATTCCGCAGGAGATTGTCTGCAAAAGGGATACAGAGATCAAGAAATAACGCCCTGAGAACGGCACCCCAAGACAACCAGCAGCCAGCCGCATTGCCCAGTGCACTCATGCCAACAAGCCAGGACTTGTAATCAGGTTATGCTCCGGGTGAACTGAGGACATGCAGTGACATTCCCTGATCCCACTGGAGCCATTGTGCACAGCAGACTAAACAGGGGCCAACAATGCAATGCAGCCGCCGAAAGGGCAAATGCAGCTTTGGGATGCATTGACAGCAGTATCACTTCCAAATCACGAGAAGTAGTAGTTCCCCTATGCTCCTCACTTGTCAGACCTCACCTGGAATACGGTGTCCAATTCTGGGCACCAAGATTTAAGGGAGATGCAGGTAAATTAGAAAGGGTCCAGCGGAGGGCAACAAAAATGATCCAGGGTTTGGAAACTATGCTCTATGAGGAGAGACTGAGCGAACTGGGCATGTTCGGCCTTGAGAAGAGAAGACTGAGGGGGGCCATGATATCCCTCTATTAGTACCTCAAAGGCTGCCACAAAGAGGAAGGTCAAGATCTCTGCTGACAACAGAGTGCAGGACACGGAATAATTCAAGCTGGGACAACCCAGATTCAGGCTGGACATCAGGAAAAGCTTCCTCACTGTCAGAGCAATGCGACAGTGGGACCAGCTGCCTGGAGGGATGGTGGGCTCTCCCACACTGGAGACATTCAGGGAGAAACTGGGCAGCCCCCTGACTGGGGTGGTGTAAATTGGTGTCCTGCCACAGCAGGGGGTGGGCTCGGCGGCCTGCTGGCCCCTTCCAGCTCCACTAGTCCGTGATTCCATGATCCTGTTGGCTATTGCCTTTGCGAAAAGGACTCCTCGGCGGTTGGCAAGGGCCTGCACAAGGCTGCCACGCTCAGGGTTTGGAGCCAATGGCCGCTCAACCTTGCCACAACAAATGGAGATTCCTTTGTAGGGAAAAGGGTGGGTGAAAATGTTGCAGAGAAATGGGGTACATGCCTCTGCAGTGTTCTTGCCAGGGGTACTGCGGAAGCAGTGGGAGAGTTTTGTGCTCTACTTTATTCTGAAACGTAGAACTTGATGGTAATCATTTACTTCCATGGAAGACAGGAAAAGGTATCACAGGTACAGGATGGGGGACAAGTGGCTGGAGAGCAGCACTTGTGAAAGGGACCTCGGGGTGCTGGTTGACTGCAGGCTGAACATGAGCCAGCCGTGTGATGCGGTGGTCAAGAGGGCGAACGCCACCCTTGGCTGCATAGCCAGAAGCGTGGCTCCCAGATTGAGGGCGGTGCTGGCACTGCCCTACATGGCTCTGGTGCGCCCACAGCTGGAGTCCTGCACACAGTTCTGGGCTCCACATTATGGGAGAGGCATAGATAGGCTGGAATTAGTTCAGCGGAGGGTCACAGGAATGGTGGCCGCGCTGGGAGGGATGCCTATGAGGAGAGAGAGGGAACCGGGCCTTTTCAGCCTGGGGAACAGGGGGCTGAGGGGATCTTTTAGTGACTTGCAGGTATGTGAGGAGATGTCATGTGGAGGAGGGCTGGGACCTGTTCTTCCCTGCAGTGGAGGGCGGGACATGTTCCAGTGGAGCAAAGCTCAACCAACCAGGTTTTCAGTTGGATGTCTGGAAGTACTTCCTGACGGTTCGGACCGTAGGATATGGGATGGGCTTCTGCAGTGGGTGGGGAGGCATCAGTAAGGGTGTTCAAGCAAAGACTGGACAACCACATGTTGCTCTGCCCTGTGCCCACAGGGGGGGCTGCTGTTTTGACACACTGGCCCTTCCTGCAGTCCAAGCAAAGAACTGCAGCAGTGCAATGCGTACCACAATGGCGGAGATCACAATGATGATGTTGGAGATGGCGTACTGCAGCGAAATGGTGTCCTGGGGGTTGGCGATGTGGCGCAGCACCGTGCCATGGACCAGGGCTCCAGTGATGAAGTTTAGGTGGCCAATGACGATCAGGATGAGTCCCGTTTTCATCAATAGCTTCTGGGTGCTGCTGGCATCCAGGTTATCTGAAAAGGGGAAACAGCATGTGCATTTCATCCAGCACCACCTGCAGAGGAAGGTCACCACTGCGGTAATACCCATTTCCAGAGCAGGAGCCAGCTGGTTTGAAAAACATCCGAGACTGGAGAATAAAGCATCACTGTGCAAACAGCACAGCATGTTCCGCTTAGGGCACACACGAAGTCCTCCCTCCATGCCAGAGGGGTTCTGCCAGGTCACTCTAAGAGGAGTCGCCTGGTCCAGAAACCTGCTTCTCACAGTGGCCAGACAGCTGCCCCCCAGAAGCCCCCAGCCACGTGCCCCCTCCCAGAGCCTTGGCCCGGCTGGCAGTCAGGAACACGCTGCCTCCAACGTGCCTGCATGCAGACATCAGGACAAGCCCTTCCCACGCCAGAGCTGCTCCAGCCCCACAGTCCCGTCGGTCGTCCTGGCCAGCATTTTTCTCCACTCCGCCATACTCTTTCAGAGGTTCAGCATCAGAACAGGATGCGGCGCTCCAAGGGTGCCCACACACCGCAAGGGCATTTGGACACTGGCAGGGCGATGCGCCGTCCTTTCCCCAGCAGGTCCTGGAACGCACCTGAGCAGAGCCGTTTTTGCAGCTGCTGCTCACTTGGCCAGCGTTTCCACGGCATTCTCTCCCCAGTGAGACTTCACCAGGGTCTCATTCTGGGTTAGTTGTAGCCCTTTGAGAACCCATCGGAATATAGATCAATGCTGGGAAAACAGAATCTTGACCAGGATGACCAGAGTGCCACCTGAAAATAGGGGGGATTGCATAACATTTGCACATGCTAATTTATATGTATACATGCAAATTTATAATTGTTATAATCATGTAATAATCCATTTTTCATTACCCTAATACGGATTACATCACTACATTTATCAAACTGGGTCACCCTTCATTTTCAAGTCCTGTGCGGGGCTACCGCTGCCATTACCACAAGCACGCATAAACGCTTCCACAGGTCCGGATGCTGGTGTAGGCCAGGGATGCACACTCAGGTAAGGATGCCAGGAAGCCGGGCTGCCTGCCGAGGTGGATGCTTCCCAGGCAACCTCCTCAGACTTGGTACCCTGCAGATACATTGGACTTCAGCTCCCACCATCTCCCAGCCAAGATGCTGGAAGCTGCTGGGCCGACTGCCAGTCCAGTCGCCTCTGAACACAGAATGGGAGCAGACACCCTCTTCCTCCGTGCCTCACGCGGCAACATAGCTTGGGCCCACTTCAAGCACAGTGCTGGGCCCGGTTTGGAGAAGGCTGCTCTGAGGAACAGCAAAAGCCCTGCTCCCAGGTGTGTGCGCAGCAGGACATACGTCCAGCGCATGTGCTTTGCGATGTATCGGGGCTGCTGGTGCCCTGAATCAGGCTGCTTAATTTTTGTAGTGATGTTGTAGTTACACTGTTGGCTTCAATGTTTGGAGAAAGACCAGGCTTTTGGACGATAAAGTTATACAATGTATCCTCAAGTCGTACTATGACATGGACTTTGCTCCATTCTCTCCATACATGCCCATGAGTCACCAGTCACTGCAGGGGGCAATGCAAAGATGTGGAACGAACCTGTACAGGCAGGAAGCGACCGGCTGGCCCTGCAGGAACCTCTGCAGGTGCCGCAAGAATGCAAAAGGATAGCCCTGCCCAGCTCAGGGCTAAGAGCCAGCAGAACACAGCTGGAACCTTCACTGTGCCGGGCGGGGACCAGGCCAGCGGGCCCAAGAGGCACCTCGAGGGAGCGCCGAGCGACATGGCAATCCCTCTCCAAACAGGACTGTGTCCCTAAAGACAACCCACTCACTAACTGCAAACAGCAGGCAAGGGCCTCTTCCTGCTGGAGTAGCCCAAAGTCCACAGACATCAAAGGCGTGCAGCAGGGGTGGGGGAGCACCAAGACTTGCGGCTGGTGTGTAGCCGAGGCCGTTTCTCGGCAGTGTCAACAGGGAGGCGCTTCTCAATTCTGCTCTGGGGATCACCAGGTGCAAGACCGTGGACAGACGGCCTCCCCGATCAGCATTTCCTGCAGGACAAAGGCAGGTCTTGTCCAGGGCGAGGGGCTCTCAAGTCACTGCAAAGCTGCATGTGCATCCAAGGCAGCAAACTAGCCGAGAGCGGGCCTATCCACTTACTTTGTACCTGCTGATTTGCAAAGCTGAAGCCCAAAGTGGGGCCAGAGGGGGCAGCCCCGCCCACCCCATCCCCACCTGGGTTTACGACAGGGGTCCTCAAACTTTTTCAACAGGGGGCCCTGTTGGCGGGCTGGTGCTGGTGGCGGGCGTGAGTCGGAGAGGCGTGGGTCAGCGAGGGGGCGGGGTGGTGGGTGCGCGAGGCAGCGAGGAGAGGCAGGGCGGGCGCACCCACGGCGAGGCGAGGCGAGGCGAGGCGAGGCAGTGGCAGGTGCGCGAGGCGGCAGCTTGCTCACTCAAAGATTGTTTTCTGGAGTGAGTCCAAAACCTCTGAGGTGGGCTGGATAAAAGGGCACGGCGGGCTGGATCCGGCCCGCAGGCTGTAGTTTGAGGACCCCTGGTTTACTACATATAGATGGTGCTCACCTGCCCTCTCACAAAGGTGTGTTGACTGTGAGCTGAAAAAAATTTATCCGGGCATGGAGGAGTGCCTAAGACAGGTCAGAAAAATGAACATCCAGAAAGGAAGAGAGTTGAGACAGGGAAATGTCCCCACGTGCAGATTCTAGGTAACATGAGGGGCCTATGATATTAGGCAGCCAGGTGGGTGTGCTGAAGACAGCCTTTTTCAAACTGGTGCCTTCCAAACCAAAGTGCCTTCAGGTAAAGCACTATAACATTATTTACCATATTCTAAACTTGAGAGCACCACTGCACTCATTTCACATGCTAGCAAAGTTATGTTCAAAACCCTACAAGCTGGGCTTCAGCAGTATGTGGACTGAGAACTACCAGAGGTACAGGCAGGATTTTGAAGAGGCAGAGGGACTAGGGATCAAATTGCCAACATACACTGGATCATGGAGAAAGCTAGGGAGTTCCAGAAAAACATCTCCTTCTGCTTCATTGACTATGCTAAAGTCTTTGATTGTGTGAATCACAACAAATTGTGGCAAGTTCTTAAAGAGATGGGAGTACCAGACCATCTGCAAGGAAATGCAACCAATAGATTCTAAAGTGAGAGAGTGAGTGAGAGAGAGGGGGGGGCACTCTGGTGCATGCATATAATCCAGACCTGCATCCACAAGTGTAAGAACCCCGGAGTGCGGGTGGGGGGGGGGGAATCACAGCGGAGAGATTTCAGGCCCCTTTCTAATCCACAGACTATGTTGTAATGCCAGATTCCTAACACGGGAAGAAGCTGAAGCCAAGGCCGCCTAAGGAGTGACCCAGCAGAGCCCCTCTTGCACGGAGGGAGGCCTTCGTGGGTCCCGCCTTTCGACCCGCCAGGAACCCGGGGTCGGAGCGCCGCGGGGACGCCGAGCCGCCCAGAGGCGCGGGGAGCAGCCGGCTCCTTGGGGCAGCGGTGCGCGCTCTTCTCCCTAAGGCGGGCGCTCTTCCCTTGGCGCGCACGGCAAGGCGTTTACTTCGGCGGCGCAGCCCTTTTCCCGCCCCGCCTGCGCCCACGCTCGCGAGCCCCCGCGCCCGCTCTGCCTGCCGTACTGCTAACGCCCAGCGGCCCGGCGGGGCGCGGAAAGTCCGGGCCGGGCCGCTCCACGCCTTGCCTGCGGCCTCGGAGCGCGGCCCACTCACCCAGGCGACACATCTTGGCGGCGTGCGATCAGGCCGGCGCCCCGGGCCGCCCGCCAGTCACGCCGCGCTCCGCCGGCTCATGGGCGCAGCCGCCCGGCCAGCCCGGCCTCCCGAGCCTCTCTGCCTCCTCTCGGCGCCGCGCCGCGCCGCATCCGCGTCCCTCGCCCTTCCTGCTCGCCAGGCTCCGGAACCAAGGCGCGCTCCACCTCCCCTTGCCGCAGGAAGTGTGATTCACCTGTCGGGGCCCGCCCGCGCCGCAGCCCCGGCTCCGGCCCCGGCTGCGGCTCCGGGCGCTCCCGGCTCGCCAGCCGGCTGTGTCGGCTCGCCTGCGTTTGGTCGGGATCGCAGCCGCAGGAGCGCAGGTGCCCCGCGCAGGAAGGGCCGCCGCAACGGAGGGCAGGGCATGGAAAGGGACGGAGACGAACCGCAGCGTCGTTACTGTGGCATGGCATTCATATCCCACGAGCCCAAAGTGGCTCGCGTGGCAGCGAGTTGAGCTCACAACAACCCTGCGAGGTAGGTTAGGCCGAGAGTGGCTGGCCTAGTCACCCAGGGGCCTCCGTGGTCTCCTGGCTCCTTGGACCAACACTGTATCCCCCTGGATTTCTTGACAGCCCTGCAGGGCAGGCTGGAGTGGCTGAACCAGCTTCACGGCTGGGTGGGGGCTTCACCGTGGGTCTGCTTCAAAGGTCCCCTTCAACAATATCATCCAGATAATAACAGCCGCTCAACTTCTCTTCTACCCTTTTCTGCATATTCTGACATTTTGACTGAAGAAGAGACCTGGACATCCCAGAAGCTTGCACATTTTTTATAACCTTTGATGTATTGACTTGTGCCATTCTTGATGCATCAAGAATGCAAAGCAAGGGGCAACAGACAAAGGAACCTATGCACCTGTTCTTAGAGGTACCAACTTCTCCTTTGTGACAACATAACTAGCCCTTGCGGCAACAAACACACAGGTGTTGCTGCTGGAGTGGAACAGCATGCTGGTCCCATATCATGACCATCTCAGAAAACCCACTCACTCTTCCAGTTTCACAGGGTCAGTTTCTCTGTGGAAACCCTGGAGGGCTGCCTTTTGAACTGTCTACAAAGACGGGGAGGGGAGGGCCGGGAGGCCCACAGCTCCATGGGAGTACTGCTTTAGGGCCACATAAGCCCTGTCCAGAACCGAGAGTTCCCCAGTGGTTTCACCAGCAGCCTTGTTCCTTTTATCTTGCTAACTTTTATTTCTTCTTTTATGCCTAGATTAAGCTGATTGCAAAGACACAGACACACACACAGAGACCGAAGTGCACCCCTCCTCTGCCACCCTTTTAGCCTTCCTGCCTCTACTTACACCTTTTCCACGGCTGCTAGGTGGCCTGTGTGTGAACAGAAGAGCAGGACTACAAAGGCGCTTGGGTACAGCGGGAGTACCTTGTGCTCCATGTTCAGGGATTGTCAGTGCCTCCTTAGTTGGTGTCTTTAACTGTCGAACTATTACACAGCCCAGATGAGAGTTTGCTTTCTTTTCACCCTGCACAATGGAAAGCACAGATGTTACAGGATCAGAGGGGGAAAGGGCCAACAAGGGCCAGCATTGCTAGTGCAAGCCTCTGGCCAAAGCATCGTCCACCCCACAAGCTGCTCCTGCCCTTCATCTGCTCCCAAGACATCCCGAGCAAAGAGCAGGTGTGCTGCAGGGAGGTGCTTGCAGAGCCCTGGCTGTAGTTGGCTCCAGCATGAGTGTGAACAAGCGCTAAGCACACAGAGCTGCCCCAGGAGCGTGGCTGATCTAGGATGGGAGTCTGTTTCCTCATGCTCTCATTGCATTCCAATTTCATAGATACTTTTTTCCCAGAACAATGAAATGTTAACTCCCCAGTACACAACACATCAACTCGTTGTGGGTAAACAGTCACAGTGAGTTGTAGTGTTGCCCAGATACGGACTACTTACCAACAATCCACCCTGAGAACCAGTGGCCTGCCCTAGGTTGTCATGCCATCCAAACCCAGGCGATGAATCTCATTGTGGGTAATGGAAAGTGACAACAAGGCTGTAAGAACCTGACTGGCCTGCTTTAAAACAGAATGTATTTATTGTTGCGATCTACCCAGCCAGAGGGGCTGCAGGTGGCGCAGTGGTCTAAACCACTGTGCTGTTAGGCTGGTAGATCAAAAGGTCACCGGTTCGAATCTGCACAACGGGCTGAGTTCCCGTTGCTCCGTCCCAGCTCCTGCCAACCTTGCAGTTGGAAAGCATGCAAGTGCAAGTAGCTAAAACGGTGCCACTTTGGTGGGAAGGTGACAGCGTTCCGTGCACCTTGGAGTTCAGTCATGCCGGCCACGTGACCACGGAGACTGTCTGGGGGCAAACGCTGGCTCCCTCGGCCAGGAAACGGAGGTGAGCACCACCCCCTAGAGTCAGGCATGACTGGACTTCATGTCAAGGGGAAACCTTTACCTTTACCCAGACAGTCTTGACTATTGGGTCATATAGAAATTAATTTAATGTTTACTCCAAATTGCTCCAATTATTTTGTAATTTTTAAAGCTTATTTTTTCTATTTGGACTTGTTCAAGTGTGACAATACACTTCTACAGGTCCAAAATGGGACGCACTTTCACAGTAGGTCCACCCGTGACTGCCCACGTATGACCTCCCATTCTGAACCCATAGAAATCTGCACTTCCACTTCTGCCCAAGTTCAACTAGAAACATAAAAATACAAAGAAAGGAATCGTGCGCATTTGGAGCACTTTTTTGAAGGGGTGGAGGACGTATTGGCGGCCTCTGCATGTGCCTCTTGAGCACATTGGTGGGGCTGTCACTAGCTGTTGAGAGCTTGCTGTCCACAGTCTCCGTTCCGAAAGGGGAGTAAGGGAGGGAAGGCTGCAACAGTCTAATAATGGCTCATGACTGTGACAGGAGAGGAGGCAAGGCAGCCGCAGCCACCAAAGCTCCTGTCAAACTGGCCAAAGGACCAAGTGGGAAGAGCAACCCACAGTGGGCCTGCTCAGTTGTCCAGTACACCGTGGGTTGTTTGCAAACCAGCCAATCCATTGTAGCTTACTGTCAGGATGAGTTTATTCTGACATGTATAATTTGTTGACAAGTTTAACGAGATGCAGAAAGTTCATGGAAACTGTACTGGACTGAAATTATACAGAAAAATAGGTTCCCACAGCAGAACCATCTTCATCCCCTGTTGTTTGCTTCGAAACATCAAGTACTAGTCCCCTTCCAGCGATGACAGAAGGCCAAGAGGAGCATCAGACTGGTCTTTCTTGTTTGGCCTGTCCGACAGCTCTGGGGACACAGGCAGATAACACCCTGCATCTGCTTTTTTGCTGCAGCTCTAAACCAGAAGTGGGGCAGGAAAGGAATATAAAGAGAATGAAAAGTTACCTGCTGCTACAGGTTCCAGACAGCATTCATGCTGGGAAGTGACAGGGAGGGAAGACAATGCAGGTGGGTGAAGGGGGGGGGTCTCCTATCAACATTGCATTCAGAGAAAGTTTAGAGTAAGTTTCTTAAGTCCTTTTGTTTGAAAGAATGCTTTTCCTCCAACTTAACAAATAGACTTAATAAATCTATACTTCTGGGTTTTCAGAAAATGGCTTCCAGATCAGAGCTGTAGCCTGCCAGCTCAATCTCCTTTTAATTTCAGCCAACCCTGAAAGTGAAATCTGGCTGCAAAATGTAGTTTAGAGAAGTGCACTGACAGTTTGCTAACATCTTTGAGGACAAAATGTTGCTGGGACGGAGTGGTTCATTTCCAGCTGAGCCAAGATGGACTTTTACCTCCTCCCCTATAAACAGAGTGTCCTACAGGCTTGGGCCTAGTTTACAAAAGGCAGAGCTTAGTGTTCCACATGTGTGCATGCGGTGCTTCCCCTGTTTCTAGGGACCAGTAACTTGACTGGGTTTACACAGCTCAAGCCTTGCTTTTTCAAAAATTGCTGTTTAGCTGATCACCTAAACCAAGTTGTGGTATTTCAGCATGGTAAGTTTGGTCCACAGAAAGAAAAAAAGTTTGTTCTGCATCCGCCCCCACACCCATGATTGCTTGTTGTGCCCAAGGAGGGGCAGAGGAGGGGAAGCTTGGCTGGGATGCACTAAGAGAGTCTGGGATCCACAGGGGTGTCCTCAGCGCAGCCAGGCCGAGCTCCAGTTCCCCTGCCCTCCCTTGGGCGGCTTTCTCTCCCGCAGAAGCAAGGAACAGTAGGTTGTGGAGAAGTACACACCCACCCTGTGTGTGCTGCTTCAGCAAAATCCTAATCAAGAAAGTTTCCTTGCCATGGTAAATTATCTAATCCAAGAAGGGCACCCAAGTGCCAGTGTGCCAAAGATAACACTCCTGCTATTTGCCAATAGAGCTATTTGCCAGGAGCATGTAACAGATAATGTTTACATTGCTAGCAGCAACTGCTACTCTGCCTCACATACCTGCACATGTGCAATCTTTTAGTGCCTTCCTTTAGGCGCACATGCACACTTAGAAGCTGCATGCTCATCTAAGATCAGATGTATCCTTTTGACTAATCCAGCATGTAGTTTGCAGGCCTTATTCTCTTATGCACAACCAGCTCTCAGCATTCTGTCTGGACATTTTAAATTATTTAATTACAGTGTTTGCAGTATTTCCTTCACACCTGCAGAACTGTAAGAAACCAACAGCCTAGTATCTGCATTACTGCAAAACTTAGCAGCCATCAGAACATCAAACAAAAGTCATTTTCTGACTGGCCCACCCAATTCTGTACTTAACTATTAAACTAGCGTTGCTTTGGAGCAGCCTACCCCCAACTGGTGCCATTCAGATGTTTTGGCTTCCAACTCTCTCACAGCCTCAGCCAGCATTGCCAAAGCATTAGGAATGCTGGGAATTATAGTCCCAAATATCTGGAGGGCATCATGTTGAAGAAGTTTGCTATAATTTTAAAATGGAAACATAATGACAGTTATTTCCTCTACTTGATTGCACTTGGTTTAACTGCTCTGCTCATTACAAAGGAACAAGCTGAAATGTTTAGAAATTCAAACAGCAATTTTAACAGGCATCTTGCATAAGGCTACAGGAATAGAAGCCTATAAAGCATACTGATCATGTATTTTATATTGTGAAATCAGCATCCGCATGACTAGCCCTGAATTGTGTTGCAAGGATGCAGTCTTTTGAGCAGAAGCGGGTGTGCTTCCAGAGTCATCGAAGGGAGTGCAATTTGAACATCAGATGGCAGAAATTACCTAGACATTGGAAGAGAAATTTACTATGTTACTGAGAAATAACTCAGAGCAAGTTCATAGTATGAGAAATGAAATGTTACTAAGTGGTAAGGTGAAAAGCAAAGAAAGGGTGAAATACAGGGCTAGGGTAGGATCATCCAAGTCCCTTAAGGCCAAAAGGCCTGAGGATAGAACCATGTAAATAGTTGTACTATAATAGTGTTTCTTACATCAAAGTCCTGAAAAATACCAGAGAGGCTAAAAATTGGGAGGGCAGTGGTAAAACTGTCACCTTCAGTGGAAGACAGCAGGAAATTGATTACCTTTTACAACTGGCCGTAATGAGCCTGGAGGAAGGCTTATTCGTCTGATCTCATCCTCCCACAAGATTTAAGAAACAAGTTGGCGTCAAGTAAGAATCTACAAGGCCAAACCGGCCTGTTGACCTTTTAGAAGGTACTGCGCACGCTTAATAGGTTCATGAATAGTAACTGACACACCTCTCATAGGTAATGGACTTATTAGCATGAACATGGGATGTATGAGCGGGAGGGGGAACATACCGAGGGGTAGCATGATGTAGGCGGACGGAGAAGATTGTGACTTCTTAGTAACCCAGCCAATGGGAGAAAAGAGGAAGGGTCCACGAGCCGGGAAAAGGGAGTAAAAAGCAATGTCTTGTGTGTAAACGGTGCGCTGCCTGTGTGGTGGGGCCCGCTCTTGCAAGAATGAATTAAACTGTACTGCTTGGTACTTTGCCTCCGTATCGTCAGTACTGGGGTTTACTCCTTACAATAGTACACCAAAACTACTTCAGAATACAAGAGGTAGAATTATATTTTGAAGGTCAAAATGTAAATAATACATGGAATGCTAGGGCTCCTGATTTCTGAATTTAAAATGTTCCCTGAATGTTTGCTACAGAGCAGCATGGTTATTAACAAGGACTGGTTCTAGAGAGCCTATCACTCCGGTCCTCTACTAACTGCACTGGCTGCCTATTATCACTTGCACCTAATTCAAGATGCTTATGGTTGCAGAGCCCCAAATGGGTTGGGACTGGGATATCCAAGGGAGCACCTGTCTCCATTTATCCCTACCAGACCACCCAAATCTTCAACAAAGGCTGTCCTTCGTTAACTCCCCACCCCATGAAGTGAGGGGGGAATTGGCAAGAAAAAGGGTCTTCTCTGTTGTTGCACCTCATCTTTGCAACTCTCTTCCTAAAGAGGTGCGACTGGCACCCTCATTATTCTACTTTTGCCACCAAGTAAAGACTTTTAATCTGGTACTTGCTCTTAGAATCATTGTTTTATTTACTGTTCACTGCTGGTTTTATTGTTTTTATTGTTTATATTATCCTGTTTTGTACTTTACATTAGTTGGTTTTCACGTGGTTTAGATGTTATTGTTTTATTCTACTAAGCTATGTTGTTTTGTTTTTTGAGCTGCCCAGAGAGCCCCTGGGCTATGGGGTGGCAGACAAATACAATCAATCAATCAATCAATCAATCAATCCGTAGTTTGGGCTCTAAGGAGGTCATTTATCTAAACCACCCCAGACCACTTAAAGAGTCTAGGTCAGGGGTCCTCAAACTTTTTCACCAGGGGGCCAGTTGAAAGGGGCCAGTGCTGGGCGCGGGCCGGAAAGGTGGTGCAGGCAGGGCACCTGGGCGAGGCACGGGTGGGCAGGTGCGGGCGATGGGAGGTGAAGCAAGGCGGGGGCGGGCACACACCCCAATGCAGCGGCGGGCGCGCAATGCAGTGGCTTGCTTGCTTGGAGATCGTTTTCTCCTAGCGAGTCCAAAACAATCTCCTCGTGAGCAAGCCACTGCCTCCCTGTGCGGGGGGCGAGGCAGGCAGCGGCAGGTGCACGCAGCGTGCGGGTGCATGCGCAGCGCATTGAAAACCTCTCAGGTGGGCCAGATAAATGGCCATGGCGGGCTGGATCCAGCCCCCGGGCCGTAGTTTGAGGACCCATGGTCCTCAACCAAACTAAAGGGGGGGGGGTTCAATAGCAGAGCAGACTAGGACAACCGTAACACAAAAGCTGAAAGAATAGAAACGCCAATGCACATTTTCTGGGAGTTCCTGCACTCCCTCGTTTCACCTTTTGCTCCCTTTTGCACTCCTCCAGGTCATACCATTTGACAGACTCTACAACACGACACGTGGGTTCCATCTCATCCCTCCTGTCACCGCAATACTCTCAACTCTCCTCCAGCTTGCCTGAAGACTCATTTCCACCAGGAACTGCCTCCCAAATGAGAGCCAACTAACTAGTGATGAGTAAAATCAGCAACAAAAATGAGATTGGCTTTTGATTCTGCAAAAAGATCGCCAAAGTGGCAAGTGCTTGCAGGCCTCTAGTTTAATATTCAGTACAGAATCTTGATCTTGGGTTCAGTTAGCTGCTGCTGCACATCCTGTAGTAATAGCAGAGAAAATGGTTTTCCTTGCAGCAGAGGAGTTAAACTAGAGTCTGCTTAAGATGTGTTGTGATCTGATGCAGCAAAACAAGTTAAGGGGGGGGGGGAAGCAGCCCTCGTCAGGTACTCAAATGATGCTTCTAGCCTCTTCATATGACACGCAAATGTATCATTTACTTCTGCAAGTAAAAATCAGAAATGGCTAGATATCAAATGTCCTCATCGCTTCCATCAACTGTGGAATCACCAAGACCTTATGGTAGGGAAAAGAAACCCTGCATTCGCATACTGCACAATATCAATGGTCCAGAACAAACTTGCAGCTGCAGGGATCAAAAAGGCCTCTTGAGGGCAGCAAATGAATATTCTCTTGCCCAACTCTTGCTGAAACAACTTCTCCCTGCCACACCCAGATTTTAAAGCAGTGCAGGAGAAAATGCAGAAGAATTTACTAGTTACATGGAAAGGGAGCACAGGATCCACTTTGAATGGTAACAGAAATCTTTATTAAAGGCTTTCTTTAGGCGTATGTTTGGCAGACATACGATGTACACGCACACGTTTATGTACACTCTTACACAACTCACAGAGCATCACCAAGCGTTTGAACCAATAAATTAAAAAAAAAAAAAGATCAAGGTTTTTACCATCATGTAAGAAATGCCGTTTCCCCAGAAGCAGGTTAGGGCAGCAGTCTGGGGAATGAGAAACAAAAGCCAACAAGGACATAATGCCCTCACCACAGTAGAGGCAGTAGCAATCAGTGTGCTTCTCAGGAGGAAACAGCCTCATACTCGGGCCTCGATGCACTCTAGCACAGAGACTATTTCCTCGGGCCGGTGTCCTTCTGCTTGGGCACACTGGCCAATACGGGCACTTGGGCTCTCAGCACCTCTGGCATTGGAAGGATGCAGGCAGGCAGCAGTCTGGGGACAGGAGGAGTCACATTCATCCGAGGTAATGTCGGGCACGTCATCCGACTGACTGTCCGAGCTCTCCAAGTCACTGCGGATGCTTTCCGGCTGTGCCAGAGTGATGTCCCAGGTTTTGCTGGCCACACAGTCTTTCTGCTCACAGCTTTGGTGGTTGCACATCTGTCCCTGCTCCTCCTCTGCTTCTTCCTCCTCATTTTCTGCCATCTGGGTGTGAACATGGAGAGAATCCTCTGTGCTGCTTCCACTAACGAGCTGGTAATGGGTTGGCTTGGTCTCTATATCCACCTGAATCTCCATGTTGTTGCACTCTCTGCAGAGAAAGGACACAATGCAAGTTCTAAATTACAACATTTGCTTTCAGGAGTAGCTGCCCTTTCCGAATGGTGTTCAGCAAAATGAAAATACTAACACAGTTCTTAAAAGGCCTAATACATGCATAAATACATACATACATATTATTTTCCATTATGGAGAGGACCAATTCAAACTGGCAGGAATTATAGATGGGGGCCATCCTTGAACCAGATCCCAGTGTAGCAGAGTCGGAAGGGGCCATGAAGGCCATCAGGTCCAGCCCCTGCTGTTGCAGGACACCAAGTCACACCACCCCACTCAGAGGGCTGCCCAGTTTCTTTTTGGATGCTTCTAGTGTGGGAGAGACGAAGACCTCTCCAGGCAGCTGGTTCCACTGTCGTATTGCTCTGACAGTGAGGACGCCTTTCCTGATGCCCAGCTTCAATCTGGGTTGTCGCAACTTGAATTGATTATTCCATGTTCTACACTCTGGCATCAGCAAGAAATCCTGACTTTCCTCTTTGGGACAGCCTTTGGGGTACCTATGTAGGGATACCATGTGCCCCAGCAGTCATCTCTCCTGAAGGCTGAACATGCCCAGTTCTCTCAGTCTCCCCTCACAGGACAGTGTTTCCAAACCCTGGCTCATTCTTGTTGCCCTCCTCTGGACCCGTTCCAATGTTTCTGCATCTTTCTTAAATCCTGGTGCCCACAACTGGACACAGTATTCCAGATGAGGTCTGACAAGTGAGGAGTATAGGGGAACTACTGCTTCTCATGATTTACATTTACTGAGTATTTACATTCTCCCCTACAAATATGCCTCCTGGCAAGTAGAAAGCTGGCATGGCAGGAAGAATAGTTGTAGTTTTGCTATCTACCTGACACAGCAGGGGAACAAACTTGTGATCTTCAACCTGCACAAGAAATAAAAAGGATATTCTGCTCCAATTACCAAGATGGCATTTGCTGGGAAACACAAGCAGGAGGTTGCTCCTGCACTCATGCCCTGCTTTTGAACCTTCCATGGGCTGGCAAATGTGAGAACGAAATGCTGGACTATCCATCTATCTATCTATAAAATTTGTATGCTGTCCATTACTTGCATCTCTGGATGGCTTACAACATAAATCAGAATAAAAGAGATAATTGACTATTCCACGCTGGCTGTAATTAATAAAATACAAACAATAAAATCCAATTACTATTAATACATATTAAAATATTGATTAAATAAAAAGGTCTTAACCTGGCACCAAAAAAAATATAGTGACGGTACCAGGCAGAACTCTCTGGGGAGTGCATTCCATAGTAGGGGCGCCACTACAGAGAAGGCCCTCCTCCAGGTACTCTGTCTCCTAATGTCTTTCACAGAGGAGGAGGAGGGCTTCTGTTGCTGATCTCAGGACTAAAGGGGAATTTGGTCTGATTCAGCAGATCTCCTCTTATTTTACATCATCACAGGGGGCATACCATACCAGCAGTATGGCACCTCCCTACCACCATTCTGTTACATGCAGGAGACCCTAGACCCATAAAGAGAAAGCAGTTCTTTGTAATAAATTTTACAAACAGTACAAAATGGAATGTGTTACTCCTGCAAGTATTTGAACTGCTGTTGCATTTCAAGTATCTTCATTACATTTAGATCAAGGTTATGTAGAATGGGATCTTCAAGTATTTTGGCCTGCAACTCCCAGGAGTCCTGGCTACATGGCCAATGGTTAGAAATGCTGCAAAATGAGGTCCAAAATATCTGGAGATCTACTTTCACTTGCAGAACTAAAAGATCTTGAAAGCACTCCACAAAACTTCATGCAAAAGGTATCGGTAACTCACCACCTGCCCCAAACCCAGCAAGTTAAGAGCTGGAGTAGACTGACACACAAATATAAAGTGAAGAAAAACTAATTGGCAAAATAGGTCTCAGAAAAGTAAACTGCCTCATGAAATTAGGATCAAAATAATGAAGTAGGCATCACATGCATTTTAACTGATTTGTATCTTAACTTCTAGTTAGCTTTTTAATAGACGTTACAAAGTCAGACCCTGTATTTACAGATACATACCCAAATTGCATTTGCAGAATTTCCTGATAGCCCACAAGGTACCAACAGTTAGGACAACCCACAGGCACCATTTCTGATTGCTCAGCTGTGGAAACTTCCTGACTGCGGCTGTTCTACAGAGTACACAGGTTTCATTCTGTTTCCATATAAGTATGCCAAAGGGAAGGTCCCTCCCACAAAATTGTACATTAAAAACACATCATTGGGATTCTGTTAACTGCGCTAACAGAATCAGAACCTGAAGTGACGGGCTAGCCTCTGACTCCACTGGTTCTACCCCATTGCCCCACAGCTAGGATGGACATACCTGTCCTGGGGGTTGTAAGAGCTAATGATGGAGCCTGCCATCGCTCGTGTGCTGGCATTGTCACTGATGGCTCCCAGGCTGACCGAGTCTTTTGGAAAGATCTCTTTCTGCACATCAGCCTGCACTTCCAGCCTAGAAAAGAAACAGTAATTAAAGGCTCATATGCCAGTGTGGTTTTCCCAAATCCCACTTAAACAAAAAACACACACCAAAACATAAATGTTTTGTTTACATCAAGAAGTTATTTAATCAAACATCAGAATCAAGCATCCTTGAGCTTTAGTTGAGCTTCATTTTACTTGTTTTTCTCTTCAGCACATTAGTGTCATGTTTGGATCTATGACTCACACAGTTCCTGCGTAACACATCTTTTTATACATGCTATATAGTCAGAACCTGGGCTACAAAGAGAGTGTGTGGGGGGGGGGCAGGGGGAATACACAGCCACCTGGCTTAGAAGTTCGTTCAGAGGAAAAAGCTGCAGTTGCAGCCTTATGATTCAAGTAGCAATCTCTCTCGTCATTGAACCAGTAGGGTATCAACAGGTATTGTATGAAAGAGGACAAAGAAACCTTTTTAACTCTGTCAAGTAACAAATAAATGCTGATTTCTGCAAGTTAACCACAGCATCAGAACAGAAAGCATTAAAGCATAATACTAGCCACTTTGGGTTGCGCAGCAGAAGCAACCTTGTGTTCTAAATTATGACTAAGTTGCTAACCACATACACACAACATACACACACCACAGTGGCCATGAAGTTACCTGCTGTACTTTCCTTTCCCACCCAGAAGCACTCCACCACTCAGGGTGCCCCCTGAGAGTGCAGCAAAGCTGGCTGTCTCACTGTAGTTGCCCTGCATGACACTGAGTCCATCGGTAGGGCTACCACTGGTGCTCAGCACACTTGTAAGACCTTCAATGCTGCTCTCTCCAATGCTGGGGTTCTTCAGAGCTCTCCAAGCATCTGCCACTAGTCCAAGAAAAATATATGAAGAAGCATGAGGCACAGGTGATCAAACAGTCGCATCCCTCTATATTAAGCCACTGAGAGCTATAGGCACAGGAACAACACAGTGACACTAAAATAGCTGTGCAGTTTAAGAATATTTTCATCTTTCTGAAATTGCAGAAGGAAACAAAAAATTCATTTAAGGAAAGTTACCACTTTTGTGGGTACACACAAAGGAAAAAAGCTGACTGACTCTCAGGCATGGACTTACAGATTCACCCCACAGAACAATCCAATCCTATTATTATTATAATCATTATTGTTATTTCAGCTTGTATTCTGCTATAACTAGTCCAATAACTCTAAGTGGATTATAACTATATTACATAAAATAACATCAAATTTTAAAACACATAAAAACAATAAACAAAACAGGCATTCAAGATTGCCTGTTCAGCACAGCCTTACTTGCATTTCATTTCCATCCCAAGATTAAAAGGCTGTGAGTTGCTGCTTTATACCTGTAATTGGTCCATCATCTTCATCAAACTCGATTTTAACTCCTTTTCCATTGGCTGTGCTAACTCCACAACCACCACCACGGCACAAAGAAATTGGCACAACTCCATAGACGTAAGCCAGCATAATAGGGACTCCGATTCCTGGGAGTGGGGTGGAAGGAAGAGTGGTATCAGGAAAAGCAGGAAATTTTCTTCAAAAGACAGCGTTGTATAAGGTGCATCCATTCAAGTACTGTCACTGGTCTTTTATAGGAAACAATCAGTCTCTTATACCAAGAGGGAGAGTACACTGAGTATGTGCCGCAGTTATAGATACAGCCCACTGATAGACTCTACTCTCAAGGGGCCACATGTGCTACCGGTCGAGTCCTATACCTGTGGAGAGAGTATCTGCAGTTCTTCCTAGAGTGCTAAGCAAGCTGTGTCAACGTGCATGCCTAACTCTGCATGCCAAAAAGCCAGTAAGAGTGACCTACCACTTGGCTATCCTCTGAGCTTGACAGAAGTTCCTCAAAATAAAACAAGGATGTCAGCAGCCAGGAAGAAGGGGGGTTGTGTTAATTGCACAGGTGACTACCTGGAAGAACAGAAGCTACATGGACACAACCTGACTCTTCTTTGCGCTCTCCGTGCTGCTCCACAGTCAAAGGATGATTAGGCTAGCATACCTGGCCATGGCTATTCTTACACCACTCAGGAGAATAACTATTTCAAATGTGGCATTAATAAATGCAGATTGGCAGTCTGGCTTCTTCTGGGTGTTGCGCTGACTCAGAGTGTCTGTCTTGGCTGCAAAGGGGGGTGCTTTGCCAGCTGAGACTGGTTAATTCCTGCTGAATGCAGATCTGGACATGATAGTATGCAGCTTAATTACATCATGTCTCCATTATTGCAATATTCTCCACCTCAGGCTGCCTTTGAAGAGTGTTCAGAAACTACAAAGGTACCCTGATTGTTGACAAGATATGGACCATGCAACTCCCTTCCTGAAACAGCTGCACTAACTTTAATCTGTGTTTAGGAACCATTTAAACTACTGCTGATGATACCTGAATGGTTCTAGACTAAGATTTCTGAAGGACTGCCCTTTTCTGTATAAACCTATCTGTTTATAGAGATAACCTTTTAACATCTTTTGGCATGTGCCAGCACCTTAAAAATACATTTAAATCGGACCAGGAAGAGAGTTTTTTCAGGGCCTGCCCCTAAACTTTGTAACTTGCATCTAAGGGAACCCGGTCTCTCCTTTTCATTGACAACCTCATACAAGTTGGTTTATTTATTTATTTATTTATATTATTTATTAAAACATTTTATGCCGCCCCATTCGCCGAAGCCTCGGGGCGGCTTACAACAATAAATCCTTTTTAGAAACATGCCTGGTTTGTAATTATTTGTTTAACTTCCTGTTTTTAAAAAGTTGTTTACTACTTCTCTTAGTGTTCATTGTCACACTGTAACAGAAATTTAATGGGTAATTTTTGGCTTGTATCTTTCATCTTTGTTGTTCACTACCCTGAGTTCTCTGGCGAAAAGGCAGACTATAAATGTTTTAATCAAACAATTCATTTATTTAGTTCCAAGGAACTCAAGGCAGCTTACATAACTCTTCTCCTTTCAATCTTATTCTTACAACAACAATCCTGTAAGGTAGGTTGGGCTGAGGGTCTGTGATTGGTCCAAAGCCAGCCAGAGAGCTCCATGGCTAAGTGGGAATTAGCACCCAGACTGAACAGGGACCATAACCCCGACTACCTGTGTCCCAATCTTGCACTCTTAGCCACTAAACCCCACAGGCTCTCAGATCAGCTTCAGGTTTTCATGATCTGGTTGAGTTACATGAGCTCCCATTTCAGGACCAACTCAGAAACCAACCCAGCCAAAACAAGAACATTTTTCATGATGAGGAGATGTCAAAGTACTATCAAAAGGTTAGAATCAAAACTGAGGTCAAGGACATAGTAGAATGTGTAAGAAAAAAGGAGAAGATTCAACATGGGATTGCAAACCCCATGAATCCAATGCAAACTTTCAAATGTACCCCAACTGCCACTACATTTTTAAAGTAAATGGTTTGATCACAGTTGTGTATGCAGGAGCAGCAAAAATTGTAGATTATGTGAACAGAAAAAACAGTGTAACCATAGGTGTCAAGAAAAACCTAAGATATGTTCCCCTGACTCCCTCAGCAAAGGAAGACCTCAGCAAAGTGACTTTTGCAGTGCTTACAAGAGAACCAAGTGGGCAGATATTTCCCCCTGTACCTTCAGAGCATGCAGAGACAATGTGATTCTCTCTGCTTGAGGGGAAAGACAGCAACATCAACACCCTGAGAAGCTCTGGGAAATTCGCACATCCTGATTCTAAATACATTTCCCATCTATCTAATGTTTGAATGTTTGTAAACCACCCAAGAGAGCCCTCTGGGCTATTGGGGTGGTATATAAATGCAAGCAAGCAAGCAAGCAAACAAACAATTGGAGGGGTGGGCTATGAATGCAATAAAGAAATGAAATGAAATGAAATGAAATGAAATGAAATGGAGGGGTGGGAGATAGATATTTTTAAAATCACCGTCATGTTATAATGGAAGTCAAATCACCATGCACTCATCTGCTTACCTACACTTACGGCAGCAATAACAGGCGATGCTATAACAGACAAGGTTACACCACCAGTGATGGCAAGGTTCCTCTTGTGCTTGGAAGTTTTCTTTCCATCATACCTGCTGTGAATCTGACATGAAAAAGGATAAAGAAAAGCTGTAAATTAAATAGAAACACATGCCACATGTGCAGCTCTGAAGAGTTACAGGAAAGGTGTGAAAAGGCTAATAGGCTCTGAAAAAAATAACAAGCCTCACTATGCTAAAAATTTGCTCAAGGTGGCAGAATTCAAAGCAGGGGCAAAACAAGTGTCAATGCCCAAAGAACTCAAGAGGAAGTAGCTTTTCTAAAACAATACATAAATGCTGTGCTCACTACACATCTGTTCTGGGGAAAGAGGAGCAGCCTCAAGTCTCCTAACACAACACCCTTCATTATTATTAGGCTAGTTCCCTTTCTAGAACAACAACTGATTCCTCCTAATCTACTGAAGGCAGTTTACACACAGAAACGTGCATGAGCTCTCTCTTTCACTCTCACTCATACACATTCACTCCATGCAAGCTTGCAAATGTTACTTCAAAAGATGCACCTTTATGCTTACCTTTCTGCCAACATAAACAGGGATGCCAATGACCATTGCTGGAATAGCGATGCCAGCAATGAGGGAAATGCCCACTGGGGCACCAATCAATGTTCCAAGCTGCCAAAGAATCTTCTTTTTACGACTCCATGGTTTCTTGCCCCAGAATGTGCAACCAGAAGGACTGCAAGAGATTTTATAGTTGGCCCTTAGGAGGACAGAGTTCAAACACGGCAAAGGTGAACGTGTGCCTACGCAGGTCCTAATAAACCTCTTTTTCCATGTAACTAGAAGTGCCTGAAGAAACCAAGCGGCTACCCAGTGAGCAACGTTTCCCCTCCTTCCTCAGTATTGTTCTCTAATCAAGACTCAGTTTCTCAGTATAAGAACACAAGTCACTGTATCAATTCTGTTGTACTCACAGCATGATGGATACCATGTGCTGTGGCTGGCATGGGTTTGAGGTCACAACCATGCATCAGCAAATACAGCTTACTAAGATAGAGTGGAATTACTGCATTTTGCTTTCAGACTTACCTGAGGTAATGCAAATCAGAGATTTCCTTCATGCAGAGCCAGCAGAACTCACAGCCACAAACAGCACAGGTCATGTGATTACAGCTGCCATCATTCATTTTGATGATATAGGCACTGCAACGTGGACATGGCTTGATATCATCTGCTGCAGAAGTGAAGAAGGAAAAGTAGTCAAGTTGTGAACAACTAAAATATATTTCTAAAAGCAGCTGAAATTCAGCAAGGTCTTTCATTGCAGGAAAGAAGGTGAAAGATGGATTTGTATGGCCTGAAGCTTCCAGCTCATAATACTAACCATAATGGTTCAAATGGAAAATCAGTATTTAAATGATCTGGCTGCCCAAGACATGGAAATCTGATTAATTTCAATACAATTGCCCATATAAGATCACAGTCTTTGTCATTAAAAGCAGTACCTAACAAATAATTATTCATGATGGTTATACCTATTTTAGACAGAACAGGCAAAACCGCACAGGCTCATAGCTTGGTGGCAGTACAAATACATCTCATACTCCTAAGCACAAGTTCTCATATCTAAAAAGAATCAGGTAGCAGATGATATACAAAGATTTCTAGCTAAGCAAGTTGGAGTAGACAATAACAGATTAGACTGAGGATAATCTGACCCAGTATACAGCAGTTGTTAGCATGCAGAACTAAGAGTAAAACTTGATTTTAACTTAGTGTTTTTGCTAAGAGATTCCAGCATGTTTCAGAATTCCCGCAAAATAACTTGGTATTTAATGACCTTTTTGTTTATAATTTGTAGCAGAATAGTTGTAGAGATTCAATTGATTTACACCAAAGATGGCATATTAACATGCACTATAGAAGGAATCTCCACGTGACCATACTAGTTTACTGCAATAATTCCTAAAGTACTGAGTATTTTTTTGCTTCTCAAAGACAGTATGGTAGCAATACATCTGAGATGCGATATCTACTAGGAGGCTAACTGAAGTCTTGTAAGTAAGTAGAAGGTTTTTAATGCAGCAGCAACCAGAACAGCTCATGACCTAAAAAGCCAAACCACATACAAAGAAAGGAAGCTTTTATTTATTATACGGCTATCCTGCCTTTCTTCCACAGAACTCAAAGCAACTTTTTTTTAAAGTTTTTAACTTGGAAAAATGACATGTTAATAATCATCATAGATTTCCTTGTTGCCATTTTTATACCCTGAATGGATATAGACCTTTAGAAATAATCTTAAAATATTACTTAAATATAGTGGCAGCTGGGCCATAATGATAAATACCCTGATATGCAAATATTCATAGCTCCAGCCTTTTCCAATGAGCAAATATAAAACCCCAAGACCCAAAAGAATCACGCCCAGACCAAAAATCAAACAAGCAGCCAGCACAACATTGTCAGGAAAAAATTAGGGCAAAGCAGCTGGGATAAAAGTTGTGAGGCTTTTAATGAGAATTCTGGGGTTAAAGAGCTGGTAGTAACTTTTATAACTAACAAATACTAGTATCTGATCCAATAGGCCAAACAGATTAGGAAGAGAAGTACATGTTGCACAGAAGTCATGGAGATGCAGTCATGCAAGAGCCACTTGATTGCACCAAGTCACCAAAGTCTATGTCAGACATGAAGGTGTCACACTTTTATCCCAGAAAATTCACCATCGAGAGAGTAATCTCTCCCCCAGACCTTCCAACATAACCACAGTTGCAAGAAACTTGCTAATGCATACCTGGTCCTGATTCTTGTCCGTAACTGAGGCCTGAGGTATGCTTTGTCCGTACCCGCAGAGTTTGTGCTCTTTGTTGGCGGGCCATGTCGCACGTCTGGTTTGGGTGCCATATCTGTTTGCAGTGGTAACAAAACTCAGTCTGGCAGCCTTCTCTTTCACATGTCAGTTTGGGGCAGCTGGCACATCCATATGCAATAACAGCATAACTGTGGGGGGAAAGTGGATGTCCATATAGTTAAACTAGGCAAAAACACATGGGAGCAGTCGTCTTTGGAACTCGTATTGACAATACAGCGGTATCTCGGCTCGTGAATGCCTCAGTTCACGACCAAATTGGGTTGTCAACAAAAATGTCATAAAAAATTTGACTCTGGTCGCAAACTCCGCATTGGGTGGCGACCGCGATCGCAGTCCATCCCCCCCCCCCACGACCGCGCTCATCTCTCCCCTCCCAGTGCACCAGGACGACGGGCGCGATCACGGCTGTGTTGGGCGGGGTGGGAGATAGCTGCGATCTTTGTTGTTCTTTGTCACTTTGCTTCACATTTTTCCGATTTAAAAAAATAGTTACAGAACGGATTAACCTTATTTACACTGAACCTTATGGGCAAATTTAACTTGGCTCACAACCAATGTGGGTCACAACCAGAGTCCTGGAACGGATTAAGTTCATGAGTACCACTGTACTGCACAATGTATGCCTACTCAGCCCTGCTGTTCAGTTCAGTTGTCATACACTTAGGCATAGTTCTCTTGTAAATTTACATTATGATCTGTATGTGGACAGAAATGTAGTTAACTTCTTTAATGCAGTACACATCAAACTGACCTCACTAACCCTTGGCCAATGCAAAACCCTGACAGACTCGTTTCTAAAATATATAGAACACCCCTTAGGCATTCTGAACGTGAGAAGCCTGTTACCAAGTAAGCTTCCTAGTTTGGAGAGTGTGAATACACCTGACAAATCATTTCAACCAGAGTGCAGAGACAGAGTGAAAGTATGCAACTATATCCTTGTGCATGAAAGCCCTCCTCCACTCCACAAAGAGTGGAAGATACGCTATATTACTGCTCAGTTAAATGATTTAAGACCAGGCTCTTCGCTGCACTCCTACAAAGGACTGTGGTTAAACTTGCCTGCTTGTAAGCCCCAGAAAGGTTGCCATGAGTGAAGATGGCATATAGAATGGCGAAGTATCTTATAAATTGAAAAAGTTATTAAATATAGAACATCTAAGTGCCTTAAGCTGTAATGTGGAGCAGAACATTTTCCACAGAAAATATTCCAAAATGGAAAATGTATTTTTGTTTGTGGAAAATACCCACTTTTTTCATGGAAAACTGCCACACCATATGCATCTGTGTTTATCCATAGTTGCCTGGGCTGCTGCACTGCAATCACTCATGTTAGGTAGATTAAAGGTAAGATGTGAACTTCCATAGGTTATTTTTCTAAGGTAAGTATTGACAAACAGCAGTGTTAAGTTGCCCATGGAAGAACAGGAAAATAAGATATGGCTACCCCTTCCTGTGCAGTTGGCTACTGGCTGGGTCTGGACCATGTTTATACATAGTGTGTTTGCCCTCTATTGCTAAGATTCTTCAATAACAAACAAAAAACACAATTACCGCTTATTTCATTTAAGATCATAAGAAACACCATGTTAGATAATATAAGAATAGTCAGGCTGGTCCCACTAGTTCAGCATTATGTTCACCAGTGACCAGCTATGAGATCCTAGAGGCAGGACACTGAATCTCACTTTCAAGTTCCCTAGCCTGTGTATGCAGACCTATATCCATCCTTTAGTGAAACAGAATGTTCAACTAGCACATGGGTCCTCAAACTACGGCCCACGGGCTGGATATGGCCCACCATGTTCGTTTATCCAGCCGGCCTCAGAGCTGGCGCAGGCATACTCAGTGGGGAGATGGACGCAATCGCAATTGCGCTCGTGCAGGAAGACGGGCGCGATCGCGGTCGTGCTGGGGAGGGAGAGATGGCCACGATCGCACCCGTCTTCTCTGCATGATCGTGACCATGATCATGCCTGTCTTCCTTGCACGATAGTGCTTGGGGTGGGGGAAATGGCCGCGATTGCGGGCACCCTCGTGCAGGGAAGACAGGCTTGCTCATGGTCGTGCGGGGGGGGGGGCGGGGGGGAATGGCCTGCACGATTGCACCCATCTTCCCCCCAGCATGACTGCAGACATTACAGCTATGTCCCACGAGTGAGCGGAGCAAACATTTTAAATTATGTTTTAAATTTTTAATTAATTTTAATTATAATTAATTTTTAATGTGCAGTGTGCATAGGAATTCGTTCATATTTTTTTCAAACTATAGTCTGCCCCCCCCAACAGTCTGAGGGACAGTGTACTGGCCCCCTGTTTAAAAAGTTTGAGGACCCCTGAATTAGCACCTTTTTTCAGCTTGAAATGGAACTGGTAAGGGATCTAGAAAGTGACTGAAACCAAAGGTGCTATACTAACTTCAACAAAAGACCATTAATTTGTTGATACAAGATATATCACTAACAGAAAAATAGTGACAAAATACACTTTAAATAACATTCCTGAGGAATTTAAAGCCCAAATGAATCTATTTAAGTCTACTTTTTAACAGACAGTTTAATGGTTTAACAGTTTAGGGCCTTAAACAGAAGCACTGAAAAATTACATTTTAGTTCTGTTTGCAAGATATCAGATACGATGCTAAATCAGATAACATTATTTAGGATATTGGAAACTTTTTCAGTTCTACTTTGTCTGGAAAACCATTAACACTAGCCTTAAGTTTCAATTCTTCTTTCTCTCAACTGATCACTTTGTTCCCTTAAACTAAAGATCTATAGATAGTTTAAAACCTTATTCAGATAAAGGCCAAGTTTTATTCATTATCTAGCATTCCCAAGAAAGTTTTTCTCTCTCTTCCTAAGACTCAAAAATACTTCAAATATAATATTTTAATGTATTTAGATATTCATAATCCATCTTGCTAGGGCAATTCTACCCAAAGCAGCAAACAAAACACAACCATAACATTAAAAATAGTATATTAAGGAAAAATTAAAATTTGACAAATGCGAAACCCAACATTTAATTAAAATATCAGTCATCATAAAACCATTTCCCAGAGGCACAGCAATAACACATGAAGGTGACAACCTTTGGGTACATCATGAGAAGTCAAGACTCACTGGAGAAGACAATCATGCTAGGGAAAGGTAGAGGAAGAAGAGGTAGACCCACTATGAAATGGAGTCACTCCATAAGGAAGCAACAGCCTTGTGAATTTACAAGAGCAAGGTTGTGAAGTACGGAACATTCTGAAGGACATGCATACTGTCGCCATAAGTTGGAGACAACTTGACAATACATAAATAAAAACAGCAGTATGATGAATTCCCCATATTAATTAAAAACCATTTGAAACCAGATTTTTTAAAAAGAGATCGAAGCCTTTTTAAATGCTAAAACTAAGGAGCAAATCACTTATCCTTTACAAGAATTTTTTGCTCCAGTGCTTAGCAACTCAAATGATCTGAAAGGAAGACCATCACATTTAACTACTTAATATGTGTTCAAGAAGAAATATTCCAAAGTGGTTTCAGGAAGAAAACTTTTAAAGATTACCAGGTACACAAAGAGACCTTACAAGAAGCAATCCCTGCTTCCACTTCCTGTACATGTTTTTTTTTTCTTCAGGTTGTCGCTTAGCTTTTTGTGGAGTAATGAGGGCTTCCTCTGCTGTCTTCTACACTTTTTTCTTGATGAAAAATACTTGATGGTTGTGCTTGGAGAATCTTCTTTTTCAAGATTTCCCATCCCTCTTGAACTCCTTTTCCCTTAAGGGTGTGTTGCCATGGCACCTCGCTTATCATTGTTCTGAGTTCATCAAAGTTGGCTTTTTTAAAGTCCAGGATACATGCTTGGCTGCAGTTAACCCTTGTCTCCTCTATAATTGAGAATTCGAGTATAGTATGGCCACTTTCCTCCAGAGTTCCCATGGCTCTATTTTGTCCAGCTGGCCATCCCTGTTAGTATTAAATCCAGGATAGCTGATCCTCTCATTCCTTTCTCTACCTTCTGCTGGAAAAAGTTGTCAGCAATGCATAGCAGGAATCTCTTGGAGGGGCCATGTTTGGCAGAAATGATCTCTCAGCATATATCATGGAAGCCGAAGACCCCTGTGTTGACTATATTATTCTTTTTGGAAATGCTGTAAAGTTGCTTTTCAAAGGTTGCACCCTTGTCCTCTTTTTGACTGGGTGGTCGGCAACAGACGTCAGTAAGTAAGTTTTTCTTATTTTTTGCTCCCTTTAAATTAAGCCAGAAGCTTTCACTGGGACTACCAAGTACCAAGGTCCCCCTCTTGTATTTCTGTGCAGATACATGTCTCTCTTACATATAGTGCGACTACCTCCCTTTTGGTCCTTTCTATTTTTCTTGAACAGGTTGTATTCCAGTTGTGTGAGTCATCCCACCAAGTTTCAGCTATTCCTATAAGATCATAATTGCCCTCATGTACTATGAGCTCAAGTTCATGTCGTTTGCACCCCATACTCTGGGCATTTGTGTGGAGACATCAAAGTCCATTCTCGCTGTGCTCTGGTTTTCTTTCTATGTTTTTTGGGGGACTGGTGTTGGGCCCTGCTTGAGGTTTTTTGCTCTGTTGAACTGTATCTCTTTGCCAGATGATGGTATACCGTGCTGCACATCTCCCTCCCCTATAGGTTTCAGTTTAAAGCTTTCCTGATGAAGTTTATGTAGTGGCCAAACATCTGCTTCCCATTCTTTGTGAGGTGCAGCCCATCATTTACCAATAGTCCATCTTCCAGCAAGCTTAGCTTGTGGTCCCAGAATCCAAATCTCTCTTTACGGCACCACCATCATAGCCAGTCATTCACCTGAACGATTTTTCTTCCCCTAACAGTTCCTCTTCCACCATATTGGTAGGATTGAGGAGAAGACTATCTGGGCCCCCTCGTTTTTTAATTTTTCTCTCTAGAGCGTAAAAGTCTGTTATTTCAGTGAATCTTCTCATGGCAGCATCATTAGTTCCCACATGGAAGAGAAGGAAGAGATATTTGTCAGTGGGTCGTATGAGTTGTGTGAACTTGATGGTTATACATCTTTAACCATGGTGCCAGGGAGACAGCATACTTGGTGATTCTCTGGGTCATCACAACATACATATTTT